GTTTGGTGTGAGCAATACTCAGCAATAGCGAACAGCACGCACACTCCTTTGCCCCGTAAACCTATATCTAATCTATTCAAAGAGTGACAGCCATACTACACATTGAATTAGGATTCCATTAAATATAAAATTGATTTATTGTAAACTTGTTTATTCTGTAATAAATGGCATAAAATTGGAATTTTTGTTTAAATGATAGTAATATTAGGTGTGAGACTATCATTTGACCGTTCATTAAGGACAACACCCCAAACACTTATACCATAACTGAGATGTGATTCAAAGAGAGCATTATATATTTTTTTCAAATGTAGTTCACCAGGTATTGAGTGTCGAATTCTACAGATTGCACCAGTCATGGACCGAAGTTTTTTACGAATGTAGTGCATGTGGGCAGCCCAGTTTAACTTACTACCTATAACAATACCTAATTTGGTATCCTTGACTTCAGTAATAACCTTACCATCGATGAATATTGACCTAGACTCATCTAGCAGGTTAGCACTTTAGCAAATGGTCTGGTCCTTGCACAGGTCTCATCATATTCAGAGGAAAATTTAAAATGGATCATGTAGCAACATTTACTCATTGATATGGAGTAGATTACATTTCATGTAAATCGACACATGTTTAAGAACTAAGAACATCATTGACACCACTCCATCATATATAATCATCCCTTCACAACATCATCCCTAGCTGAAGACGATTAACACATGTATTTTGAAAGCTCCTGCGAAAAAAACTTTTCGTATCTCTTATAGGTTTTGAATACATTCAATACATAATCAATAAATATATATCCGAATAAATTTGATTTAAAATTAAATGATACAAGTATGCTTGCAGCTAGCGCGCTTGTATTTGATAAATATTCACGCTGTTAAAATGGGTTTTACCAATTGTCCTTGATTAAAGCAAACGTACTTGATTCTAGTAGCCCCTACCTCCTCGAACTCTACGCAGTTGTTGAATGTACTGTGCTATTGTTCTATGGAAGCTATAAGTCTCTTCGATTATTACAATACAATGGGTCGTTCACATATTACGTAATCAATATTTTATATACCCAGTCCTAAGCACAAGAGAACTGCAACAGCGAATGAGCGAACGGCACTTTGTCTTTACACTTAGCTAACTTGTACTTGTACTACAAGTTGCATCTTCAAGTTGTAGATGCGATACTTCATAAATCATACTGCCATAGATTGGTTCATAATTTATCTTTCATCTACCAGTATATATACTACCCTTGCAAGCTTTCGACACGAAAGTCTCAGGTCCCTTGATACTAGAACCACCCCCATTAGCAAGAGCTCCCGTCTCTTATGTGATCTATGAGTCGAGCAGACAAGATCATGTTAACTTCTTAATGTACAGCTACATCTACTGGTGGATCACACCACTAATTATACGTCACTATTTGGTGATATGATAGGACCCCTAATTATTGGGGTCCTCCTTAGTCGGTCTTTTGTCAGCTGCACTGCTCCGGTTATTTTTGTTCTAAAAACCTCACAACTCTGTCTCGGGCATTTTAAGATTAAACAGCATCTTCAGATTAAACGATACGATATTTTTGGAACAAAATAAAACAAGGTAGAGTTGAGAGTTCGATTGTTGAGACACGATGAGTTAAGTTATTCCTTTTAAAGAGCTGCTTTATGCAGTTCACTGCATTCAGTTCTGCTCCAGGGACTTTGAGCCTCGTGGGCGATAATTCAATAACTCATTGTTGTCGTGAATTTCACACGGTACTACTATAACCAGAGGCTATTTGCTTACAAAAACTTGTTTACTATCTTAACACGTTTTTGTATATATTCTTACTTCTTAGTATACATTGGCTGGTACTACTTATATATACTCCGGGCTAGTATAGTGGTTTGTTATTATAATGGGTTCAATTTAAATAGGGTTTGATCTACATTGAGGCTTGAGTTGGACATTTTCGCCAGGAAAATATGTTGAGTAATACATTTGGGAAGCTTTGAAATGTTATCAAATTATTATGATTATGACAAAGAATTTAATTTGTTCAACTTTTCCGTACAAATTTAAGAAGACTGAACTGTTATTATAAGGCATTTAAACATTTCCATTTAAGATGAATGGTTCAATTTTTATAAATCATTTATTACAAATTATCAGAATATCACTACCTGCGTTTTAAACGATGCATTCAATTTTTATTGTGGCACGAAGTGTTGTGATTTATTTATTAACCATTTATCATTGTTAGGCATGTAGACAAATTTCCAGTTATCGCAAGAGTTGTCTCACTTGTTCAGAACATATTTGTCTACATCCCTCATCATGGAAAAGTTTTTAAGCCCTCAGCGCTTGGACATCACCCTCACAGATAAAGGTGACGAAGTTGCAGATACCTACCTGCACTGGAAACAGACTCTAGACAATTTTATTACTATTCTTGGTGAAAAAGCTAACACCGAAGAGACACAATATATGGTGCTTTGCAATTATGTGAGCCCCTCAATATATACAACTATCAAGGGTGAAACAAAGTTTTCGGAGGCAGTTAAGATCTTGAATGGTTTGTTTGTTAAAACAAAGAATACTAACTTTGCGAGATTTTGTTTATCTACACGGAGTCAAACTGAAGCTGAATCAGTTGATCAATTCGTCTTGGCGTTGCGGACACTGGCGAAACAGTGTAATTTTACCGAAGTATCAGCTGCTGTTCATGGGGAAGAGAGCATTAGAACAGCTCTTATCAGTGGGCTAAGGGACAAGCAAATTCGGCAGCGCCTAATGGAGGACACTAAAAGTTTAGATGATACCATCACTCTGGCTTTTACTCTGGAGCAATCAATCTCAAACAATGAAAAGTATAACGGTTCTAATCTAAATGGTATTGTTAATGGAAACGATTCTGGACTGGATTCAAAGGATCATGCGGTTATAAATATCTCCGGGATTTCGACGCGGGATCATATTATCACTCAGCCCGGCCCGCTGTTAGATAAACATCTCAAGGTGATATCATCCCGCCCCGGAAATTTGTATAAACCCGGCCCGCTTTTTAGTCGTAACTGATGTTTATCATTCAATTCTCCGACTTACAATAATCAATGATACTGCTGATTTAAGAACTCGATAATAGTAGAACAGTTAGACGCGCGATCACGTGGGCGCGTCACGTGCGTACCACGTGCCACCAATAGCATACGCCGAGTCTATACCACGTGACACGAAAGCGCACCACGTGATATGAAACATCGTAACCGTCCACTTCTTTTACACGCAAATTCCTGGGAACGTTGCCAAAGCAGCTAATTCTAAAGTATAAATCCCTTGTCGAAATCGCCGGAGATAATTATAATCCATAAACACTTCACGCTCAGGGCTAAATAAATGTAATCCCTCAGCTGGCGCTTCGGGATTACATATTAACACAAAACTCGTGCGCTGCGCGCACTCGTATGTGTTTATCAGATCATCCCGCTAGCGCGGGATGATCTGTTATATAAACCCTTTGCGTGGCGGGTTTATGTTATTGTAGCTGCCACTCACGGCAATTCAGTTAGTCCTAATATAAAGTGTGGATATTGTGGTAAGGAGTACCATGTTCGAACAGCGTGTCCTGCTAATAATACTACTTGTAAAACTTGCGGTAAGCGCGGACATTGGGCACGAGTATGTCGATCAGCGACGGGTCTTGGGAAGACCGCACCTAATGATTACATCTCTAAGAAGAACTCTGCAAACAACGCTTATACTCCAGTTAACAACGCCTACAACGTCCCGTCTGCTGATCAGCCCCAGCAATCATCCCCATTCTCTTATCTTTGTGCTATGTCTCCATCGACACCTTCAACGCTGTCTCAGACAACCGTCAACGCAAAGGTAAATAATCATATCGCTTACATTTTGATTGACACTGGTAGCTCAGAGAGTTTTGTTGACTTGGGTTTTGCTAGGCGAAATGGCATAACGATAGGCCCGGGTACGAACAAAATAACTTTAGCTTCGGAATCAATGTCAACAAACACTCAGGGGTCCTGTGTAGTAGATATTGTGATTGAAGGCCACTCCTATTCAGAGTGTAAATTATCAGTTATGGACAAACTATGTTGCGACGCAATCGTGGGTTTGGATTTACTCCGAAGTCATATGAATCTTGTGGTTAATTTCGGAGGAAATAGAGATCCCTTGGTGATAGATGAAGCTGGTAGGAACTGTGCACAGCTTTCAATGTCGAACCTTGAGCCCATACCTCTATTCTCCACATTAATGGAAGGCACCAATCCAATCGCTTGTAGGTCCAGAAAGTACTCTGATGCAGAGAGAGCATTTATAGCAAAATCGGTTAAAGAGTTATTGGAACAGGGCACTATTAGGCCGAGTAATAGTCCTTGGAGAGCACAAGTCCTCGTTACAGGTTTAGATTCGGCAAGGCCCCGAATGGTGGTAGACTACTCTCGAACGATCAACAAATTCACACACTTAGATGCGTATCCTCTGCCAAACCTTGATACTATGGCCTCGCAGATAGCTAAGTACAGGATCTATAGCACATTTGATCTTAAGTCTGCCTACCATCAAATCCCGATTCTCGAAGGAGAAAAGTCACTCACAGCCTTTGAAGCAGCTGGGAAACTATTTGAATTTAATGGCATTCCCTTTGGAGTCACTAATGGCGGGCCTGTTTTTCAACGTAATATGGACATACTTGTGGAGGAAAATAAGTTAGATAGTGTTTTTCCTTATCTGGACAATATAACTGTTGGGGGCTATGATCAGGAAGATCACGACAAAAACGTCAAGGGGTTATTATCGACTATTAAGAAGTTGGGACTAACGTTGAATCATGATAAGACTATAAGTTCAGTTGAAACTATCAACATTTTGGGCTATCAAATTTCTCACGGCACTATCCGTCCTGATCCTGAGCGCATGCAGCCGTTGAGGGACTTGCCGGTACCACATGATGCTGACTCACTAAAAAGGGCCATGGGCTTATTCTCTTATTATGCTTAATGGGTGCCAAAATTCTCGGACTTGGTACGACCTTTGATAGACCCGGAATTCCCCCTACAGAAAGAGGCAATCACGGCATTTAATAATCTGAAAACGTGTATAGAGGGTTCCTGTGTAGTCTGCCCTAACACTAATGAGCAGATGGTGCTAGAGTCTGACGCTTCTGATTTTGCAGTCTCGGCCAGTTTGAATTAAGGAGGAAAACCGGTGGCATTCTTTTCTCGAACATTGAAGCCTCATGAAAGGAAACATCATGCAGTGGAGAAGGAGGCTTGTGCTATTGTGGAGGCATGTCGTGCGTGGCGACATTACTTAGTTAGCCGGCACTTTAAATTACTTACGGATCAGCAGGCTGTTTCGTACATATATGATGAAAAGAATCATGGAAAGACTAAAAACAGCAAGATAGACCGATGGCGTATTGAACTCAGCTGTCTAGACTTTGACATAGAGTACAGACCAGGCCCGCTTAATGTCACAGCGGACTGCTTGTCAAGAGCATTTAGTGCTGCTACATATCATACAGGTCCTTCCCTCTCTCGGATTCACGAAGAACTATGTCACCCTGGGGTCACTAGAATGTATCACTTCGTTAGGAGTAAGAATCTTATCTATTCTCTAGCGGAGGTAAAAGAGACCATCGCGAAATGTGTGGTGTGTTCTAAGATTAAACCACGTTTCTGTAAGTCCGAGAACTCTCCAGTGATTAAGGCAACACAACCTTTTGAACGATTGAGCATTGATTTTAAGGGACCCTTACCAAGTGGTACAGGGAACAGGTTCATATTAACTGTAGTTGACGAGTACTCGAGGTTCCCGTTTGCCATTCCGTGCCGTGATCAAGAGTCAAGGACAGTGATTAAGGCGCTCATGAATTTATTTTCATTGTTCGGTACTCCGGGGATGGTTCACTCGGATAATGGACCATCACTCGTCTCTCACGAATTCAGATCATTCCTAATTGAGAACAACATTGGATTCTCAAATAGCAGCCGGTATAACCCCAGAGGAAATGGCCAAGTTGAAAGATATAATGCCGTTATATGGAAAGGAATTGAACTGGCGTTGGCTAGTAAGAAATTAGCACCATGTCACTGGGAACAGGTCCTCCCTCAAGTTCTGCACTCTATCCGCACCTTATTATGTACCTCAACTAATCAATCACCTCATGAGCGATTATTTACTTATGTTAGGAGATCTGCCACAGGTAATTCTCTACCTTCTTGGCTTATTGGGGCATCCAAGGTTCTTCTTAAGAAACACGTGAGGTCTAATAAGTACGATGATTTGTGCGAAGAGGTGGATATTGTCTCACTACAGCCTGAATCTGCTAAATAGTACAGACAGATCCGTCTGAAAAAATCGATCTGTCGACACACAAAGCTTACAAAGGATTTTTGACGTTTTTGAGTCCTAATAGATGTCCTTTATGGCTGACCAATTTTTCCAAACTTTTCCACGTGTCTTAAGGCCACTTTTTGCCACTTTACCACTTTTTACCACCTTTCTTGTTTGTCAAATATCTTGAGTTGTGAACATCGTAGAAAGTTGCAGATTAATCGAGGGTGTTTATATTATCAGGAAGAAAAACTTTTGTTCAAACAATTTTTACGTCAGATAATCAGTTAATTGGATAATTATCAATTAGCTAATTAGCAAAATTCTAAAAAAATTTTATTGGCTCAAAATGATCGGAATAGCTTAAAACACGGAAAAAGGTAGTTTTTAGAAAAACTTTGAAAATTTTTCACTTACATTTTTTTTTCGAGACTTGGAAAAATTTCGAAAATTCAAAATATTTTTTTCCTCCAAAAGTAATCAAATTGCATGAAACGCGGAGAAAAATGCTTTTCAAAAAAAAACTTAGTGAAATTTTCGTTTCAAGAATACTCAAATCACCAATATTTGTAGTTGGAGTTCAGTAAATCTTGGCATATTTTAGTAATCAGGAATCACTAAGTGGAAAGGTCTGAAACTGAAAAACGTTAACCATACGATATAAGAGTTTCATAACTAATTACTAAATTACAATACAGCCTTATCGATATTCACAGAAACTGCACCAATGGCACAGTCAAGATCGAACCGATAGCCTGCTGTACTATCATTTTATTGATTTCAATGATGAATCAGTGGGGTTAAGATAATCACATTTGTAATAAATAAAACCTCTCTGTACCGTCAATTATGCTAATCTAAACCGGCCTACCTGGATTACCAGACCTCTTCTTTTCCTCATCAATCAAACCGAGTTGTTCATATCACATTTGGTGGGTGATGTAAGTACATATCGAGCTGTATTCAATCACAATATGACACAATACGTGTATATTATATTATAGCCCTTAATGAGGTATATGAAACGCTCTATAACGGGGTGTTTCTATACCGTACACTTCTCGTTTCTCCCGTGAGAGGCCCGGTATAGAGAGGTTTCACAGTTTATCACGAAAACGTCTTCTTGGCCTCATGGCTCTTTGACAGCTCAAAGAAGGAAAGAAAAGACCAGAAAGCTTAAAATGTCAACTCGCTCTTTTCAATGCTCTTCGGTCCGTCCCACATTAATCCCGAGCTGATCATCATGGCCTCAAATATCCTGCGGAAAGAACCTGTATTTTTACTTCACAACGCCCGGATTTCAAATCATCATCCTCAATAACATTAACAATCCTTCTTGATCAGGATCTGTCCCGTCGTCTCTATTAGCAATTTCCAAAATATCCTGACTCGGATCTCGTGCAACATTTCACTGAATTAATTATTACCGCGGCCGGTTCTTTACTTCCCCTTGCCCGTCGCTCGTATTTAAATATTACCCTTGCCCGTATGTTACCCTTGTTGATTTTACTTTTAGCCGACCCTGACATATGGGGGTGATTTGAGGTATCCCGCATAGCAAATGAAGCGGTATGCAGTACAATACAAAACAAGTCACAGTAGATGTTGAAAGGTGTATTTTCACTTGCTTCCTGGACCTGGCTGTTCCTTAGTTTCCCTGGTCGTTTCTTGCCTTCTTTGAGCTGTAAATGAGCCATGAGGCCAAGTAGACATTTTCGTGATAAACTGTAAAACCTCTCTATACTGGGTTTCTCGCGGTATAAAGCGTTTGATAAACCTTATTAAGGGCCATAATATAATATACACGTATTGTGTCGTATTGTGATTGAATACAGCTCGATATGTACTTACATCACCCACCAAATGCGATATGAACAACTCGGTTTGTTTGTTGAGGAAAAGAAGAGGTCTGGTAATCCAGGTAGGCTGGTTTAGATTAGCACAACCCCACTGATTCATCATTGAAATCAATAAAATGATAGTACAGCAGGCTATCGGTTCGATCTTGACTGTGCCATTGGTGCAGTTTCTGTGAATATCGATAAGGCTGTATTGTAATTTAGTAATTAGTTATGAAACTCTTATATCGTATGGTTAACGTTTTTCAGTTTCAGACCTTTCCACTTAGTGATTCCTGATTACTAATATCTGCCGAGATTTACTGAACTCCAACTACAAATATTGGTGATTTAAGTATTCTTGAAACGAAAATTTCACTAAGTTTTTTTTGAAAAGCATTTTTCTCCGCGTTTCATGCAATTTGATCACTTTTGGAGGAAAAAAATATTTTGAATTTTCGAAATTTTTCGAAGTCTCGAAAAAAAATGTAAGTGAAAAATTTTCAAAGTTTTTCTAAAAACTACCTTTTTCCGTGTTTTAAGCTATTCCGATCATTTTGAGCCAATAAAATTTTTTTAGAATTTTGCTAATTAGCTAATTGATAATTATCCAATTAACTGATTATCTGACGTAAAAATTGTTTGAACAAAAGTTTTTCTTCCTGATAATATAAACACCCTCGATTAATCTGCAACTTTCTACGATGTTCACAACTCAAGATATTTGACAAACAAGAAAGGTGGTAAAAAGTGGTAAAGTGGCAAAAAGTGGCCTTAAGACACGTGGAAAAGTTTGGAAAAGTTGGTCAGCCATAAAGGACATCTATTAGGACTCAAAAACGTCAAAAATCCTTTGTAAGCTTTGTGTGTCGGCAGATCGATTTTTCAGACGGATCTGTCTGTACTAAAAGTTAGGTTTGCTTCCGGAAGGGAGGCCTCGGTATCGATTCGGGATATTGCTCCTCTGGCAGGTCAAGTTGAGATTGACCCTGGACAAAATTCTGTTGTTGATTGCGGTGAAGTACAGACTATTGATAGGGAATTAACCGCAGGACCTGTTGTAATCGGACAAGATAGTGGCTCTGTTCCTACTAAGAATACGTGTAACCCTGCTGTTCCGCCGTCGGATGTTGTGGTACCGGACTTAACCCCTGCATTACGTAGGTCACAGAGGACTAATAAGGGAGTACCTCCTCCGCGGTTTGAGGCAGGTTGAAACTTTATTGACTTGCTGTTTAATGAATGAGATATTTTCTGGAATTGTGATTTTTATGGTATTAACCGGATTTATAACTTGGTAGATTTGAGGTTTTACAAATTCATGTTGAATCGTGTTTTACAAATTCATGTTTTATGAGTGCCGTTTAGAACAACACATGTTTCTGAATAGTAGAGGCTCTTACGGGCATTGTCTGCTCGATACGTTAGGGACCCCAGATACACCTTACTAGACGTATTTTTGACCGTAGAATCGATTGAAAGTGGTTTCAAGATGATTGGACTGATTGTTCTGGGGTAAAATCGCAAAAAACCGATTTTTGGGCCAAAAATAGGCCAAAAAACCATGTTTTTTGATATTTTGAGCAAGTTAATTTTGTTGGCATGTCGGCAAAACTTGCATAAAGATAGCTAAAAGACAGCCGCACAAGATTGTATAAAAATAAAACAAATCCCTTTATTTGTTCTGAGGTAAAAATCCAAAAAAGTGGTAAAAATTTTGACTTTTTTGCTTGAAGTTTGAATAATTTTTTGCAGTTGTATTAAATCAACCCAAAAATAGTCACATCGTGTTTGCCTAAATTTTTCCTTTCCGAGAAGTACCCACTTCATATACTTTATCGAAGTTTGAATATTGTCACTCCGCAAGCGTTTTTGCCAAATTTTCGACGCGCACTACGCGCAAAAGCATTTAGTTGTTATCAATTGGCACCCGCGCGTTCATCATAAATTTCAAACAGCTATAACTCAGCGAGATTATGTCCGTTCTAGCTCATATTTTCACACTAAATAGAAAATAATGTGATCTTATTGCTGACAAAATATGAATATAATTACTCTATTTGCCTTAGAGTAATAGACTGTCAAAGTTTTAAACGCGCATTGGTATAGCACGTGACTAATAAGTCCAAATTTATACTTCTTAACATATTATCGATCCTTAGACATCATACTATTGTGTCCAATTAGCGGTTAGGTCTCTAAACTCGTAGCAGAAAACACGTCTTTTTGCCCGTAAGAGCCTCTACTAGAAAGATGTATTTTTATACGAACCGATTATTTGGTTTTTGCGAGTATGTGACTTTTGAGAAGTTTTATCAATGTTTTAAATGTATCCTTATCTGCGCATTGAAATGGCGCAAATTCGTATAAAAAGCACGAATTTTCAGCTGACGCGCGCATTTGCGCGTTTCCATTTGTTAAATTTTTAAATTTTATTTGATTTTTACGGGGGGTGTATGTTGTGATTTATTTATTAACCATTTATCATTGTTAGGCATGTAGACAAATTTCCAGTTATCGCAAGAGTTGTCTCACTTGTTCAGAACACGAAGGTCAGTTCAATTTGGTTTGGACACATAGTAAGACAGCACAAATATAGGTGAATTCTTCGTATATTTACATCACTAGCCTATAAAAATAAAATTAGGTTAGACTAATGAAAGCAATTTAAAAGTTAACAACTTGAAAATTCAAACAGATTTTAATCTGAAACTTTACTAAAGAGCTCAATGTGTTAGGTAGAATGGACAACAGAGCATAACAGATTATTCAGCGAGTAACTACAATCCTATTTAACCCGAAAATATTAGTTCTAAATTTTGAAATAAGAATGCTCTCTTCTCTATCAAGTGCTGTTGGTCGGACTTTTCTTACTACACCTAATTTAAAAACTCCCATAGTGAAATCAGATTTATGCGCTAGAAAACAATGCATGGAAAGTGCCGACTTCTCAAATGACAATTCATTATCAATTTTAAACTTGTTTCTGTGTCCATTCATTCTGATATGAAATGGAGAAACCGTTTGGCCGAAATAGGTGTCGTCTTTTAGGCTCTGGGGAAGTTTATTACAAACTTGGCATTGGGCGACATAAATTATATTGCTGTCCTTACATGTCAACCGGAAATCCAGAGTTAAATCCAAACCATTGACAGTGATAACTTCGTTGGAGTTGAACAGTTGGGGACAGGTTGCACAGCCTCTCCCGCCACAGTTTTGGCTGACGGTGAAAGAATCCGTTTCGGAGCACGAACTGAGTTTTCTATTACGCACTACTGTGTTGCCTATAGATGGCTGTTTACGTAGTGCAAACAATATCTGTACGTCTCCGCATAATTGTTTGATGTCCTCACTAGTAGTGTGTACCAACTTCCTAAGTTCAGTGACCTCTTTGAAAAATTTCACTGAAAAGACAACTTTGTCAGTGATTGGCTTCTTATCTTCCCTCTCATACAAATCGTGTTCTATTGACCTCAAGACTGCTTCAGGCTCTGTTTCCGTTAAGGTCCCCTCCTTGTGTCCACTTTTCATTAGGTCTTCTTTAAGTTCCTCCATGTCCTCCACACATGTGTGATCCTGCGAATTTCGTTTGATCACTCGGATCATCTGTGAGAATACTACTGATTTAAAGACGTGGTTTGGGTGGAAACTATCAATATTAAGGTAAAGCCTGGCATCAGTCTCTTTCTTAAATAGTCTGTAGTCGATGTTGTTGTTCTCCCCCAGTGAGAGTTCTACATCCAAGTAGTTAACTGATTTGCCAAACTAACAATCACCGAACTGAATTCCAAATCGTTTTGCGGCTTCATTTAGTTTCGACACAAAAAGATCAAATTGCCTCCTGGAGCCCTTCCAAATTCCAAAGACATCGTCGATGAAGCGTCGCCAGAATAAAATAAGACTCCATAGCTGTATCATTTCAGGCCAGATGTTGATGAATAGCACCCAATGAAGCATGATATCAGCGACTTGACGCGAAATACAATTTCCAGTTGGGATACCCTTTTTGCCTGTGTACACATTTTCTTGAAAAGTGACAAAGGAGTTTGTGAAGATAATCTCCGTGAATGTTTTCAGAATAGCCTTTCGTTTATCAATCATAGCACTACGAAGGTCAGTTTTCACTTTGAAATTCGTTTTTTACCGTTATTATAATATTCCACTTTCCAGAATAACAGAATAGAGAATGAACATGTCTCTGAAAATCGTTGTGGTCACCGCTTTGATGCTTTTGGCAGTGAGTGCAGGTCTTGGAATAGGTAGGAAAATGACCGAATAATGCATGTTCAATGCAATGTTGATTTTAACTTTTATAATCGTATCTTTAACTCAAGTTTAATATTTTGCTTTATACCGATCTGCGCATTTCAAATGGTTTTTTTTCGTCAGTTATAATAGGTACTTAACTTAATGATTAGATGGTTTGATCTGCCACCTGTCATAGTTTTCCAATAAATAAATAAGTTTAGTAACAAACAAATTAACCCGCTTCAATACTGACATCTATAATAATAACGGTCGCCGTTAGACCGGCTTACTCCGGCCATTTATGTTTTAACCCATTTAAATACCGGACCAATAACGTTCCTCAATGAATTTTTGAAATACAGCTGTTTGTTGACCAACAAACTATAGGCTTATAGGGCCCGTGACCGAACTTTTGAGTGGGTTCCAGACTCCTGGTGCCCGCGGGACAACCACGCCCATATTTGGTCAACTTTTGGCTCAATTTTGCCAAATTACCTTAACATGGTAGATGGGAGACCGATGAAGGGATCTCCACATTTCTTTCAAGGTCCCGGAGATCTCTTTCTTGTATTCAATGAGATATTTTGCCTTATCGTTAAAATTCTTTATAATCATGAAGATAATCAACCCAGCAACCCGCATAATACAAAAACTTTCAGATGAATACAACTTAAGGTATTGAAGTTATAAGGTAAACTGCCACCATGTTTGAATAGAAGGTCAAGGGCTCGAATCCCAGTGTCAAATAGCTATAAAAGACAAAACTATAAAGATATGTGGATCTACTTTACGTCCTTACAATGTGTTGCATTAATCGTGGTAGACACTTCCAAGTGATACACTGTTTATGATAAATAGTCTCAATAAATATCGTAAGGTAAACTGTTCTCTGAGATTCTGGTTTTAAAATGGTACGCCTACGAGTGTAGCACACTTACTGTACCTAGCTGCTCGAAATAAGTGGAAGGTTGTACAAAAGAAAATACGTTAAATTTTGGGTTTTGTGGAAGAAAGATGAAACATTAAAAAGTACTATTTACTTTTGTTGGGTTTAGCGCACTGCAACAGGGTCATCAACTATCTTGACCGCCCCATAGCTCCGCTGTTACAGGACCCTTTCGCCATTCCAGGATGGAGTTGGTATTGAGGGATGTGTATCCCTTGACCGGAGGCTGGTCAGGGATCTGCCGGAGCAAGGATGTGAGTTGTATTTTGAAGGATTCAAATTCTTCCATCTTGTTAATGTAACCAGGAAGACAATTCCAGAGACGTGGGCCATTTTAACAGCGAATGAATTGTCATATAGAGACTCTGGTGGTAAGCAGCAACACCCTTTCGTAGGAAGGTACAAGTTCTGCTTTAATGCCAGTTTGAGGTCTTGAAGTGAAGTTAATCTTCAAATCGTTGCTGATGGACCCATGGAGGATCTTCCACATGTGTAGCAGGATATAGCGTTCCCTTCGACGTTGTTAAGACATGAGTGAGAGTTTTTTAATCTCCCCCAGTAATCAAGGTGTTTGGTTCAGCTGCTATTCGAGATGTGAATGTCCGTTGAACTCCTTCCAGTTCTTGTATATCTGACACTTTAGATGGATTCCATAATGGGCAGCAGTATTCAAGTTAGCTGCGTACCATAGACTTGTATAGTGTCAGCATGATAGTGGAGCTTCTGGTGTGGAAGACACTCAATACCCACGCGGCCTTGTTTTCCATAGCTTTGATTTGTTAAGTCCAGCTCAAGTCAGAACTGACAGTAACTCCAAGGTCCCGAAGTTGTTGGACAGGCGTAAGATTGCCTTTGGAGGTTGAATACTGGTAGACTTCACATGTAATTTGTCTTCATGAAGTGACATTGAAAACCACCGAGTGACTCTGTCAAGGTCTTGCTGCAGCAGTGGCATATCCTGAGTCTTGGATATGGCTTTCATAATCCTTGTGTCATCTGCAAAGCAACAAATGACACTGTAATTAACGCAGAAGGTGATGTCGTTGATGAAGATAAGAAACAGGATAGGACCAAGAACTGTTCCTTGTGGGACACCACTAATGATTAAGGCTGCTACACTCAGCTGTCCCTCTACCACTACTTGTTGAGTACGGTCGTTCAGCAATGACTCTATCCAATTTATGATTTTTGGCTGGATACCATACTTGGCATAGCCATAATCCAAGTATATGCAGTCGGTGTCATTTCCATCAAGGAAGTTTTCCAGGATGTCGTCAAAATAGTGGAGGAGCTGTGTTAGACAACTGTGACCTGACCTAAATCCGTGCTGCTGGCTACACAGTAGGTTGTTGGACTCAAGATGATGGACGAGTCGTTTCCTAATGAAGCGCTCAAATATCTTAATGATATGGGAGGTCAAGGACACAGGGCGATAGTTTGACGCAGTTGCATGGCTCCACTTCTTGTACAATGGGCAGATGAGGGATATTTTGTAGAATGCCGGGACAGCACCTGAGTCAAACGATTTGGAGTTGAACCAGAGGAGAGGACTGAGGAGGTGTATTGGTCGTGCCAATGCATACTTGCAAGATTTGAGAAGTGTTGTAGGGTTACCGTCAGGGCCAGGTGCGGCATTTGCTTTTATGTCATCAATGGTGGACACCACATCTCCCTCTGAGAATGACAAGTCGGCATCTTCAAATATGCTTGCAATGGTTGGGGATGCAAAATCAGCAGCAGTCATGTCAACAGCATCTGGTTTTGCAGGATGTTTGCAATAGCTGCTGAGGATCAGTACAGATATTGTTCCTTTCATCGAAGAGCATGTTAATTGACTGTTTCTGCTTAGAAAATCTCTTAGCGGAGCTATAAAAATACTTTGGGTTGGACTTAACTTTCCCTACTGCACGCTCTTCTCTGAAGTGTCTATCACTGACAATGGTATCTCTAATATCATAGTGAATTAAAGCAACACGGTTCTCGAGGACTGCGATGGATTACTTGGAAGACGTGGGGTCAGCATTAGCTCTATCCAGATGTTTTTGCAATCTCCGTTTCTTTCGTGAGAAAATGCGCATCTTGCATGACATTTGTCCTTTTGGTGGTAGTTTTTGCGGACAATGGTCTTAGCAGATGTTTAGTAGGGTACACTTAAAGAGCTCAGGAAATCTCTCTACTCCATTGGTGTCCAGAATGTTGTCCCAGTCGAAGGACTCGATTCTGTCGCTGATGCTAGTGAAATCAGTTTGGTTGAAGTCCAGCCTTCGAAAGGATGCAGCTTCAAACAGAGGAGGAAGGTTGATGTTTGGCTGACAGGGGTTGTAGGACAAAAATATCTCCACCAGGTCGTGATCAGACATCCTTGTGGGTTTGACGTCCACGTGGGTAACAAGGGAGGCTGAATTTGTCATGAATAGATCCAGAATATTTTTCTGCCTTGTTGGTTGAAGGATGTACTGACTATACAGGTGGTTATTCATGAAATTCTCCATGAGTTCTGTAGATGGGCCGGGAGTGCCAACCATTGGATGATCCCATGAAATGCTAGGGAAATTTAAGTCCCCTAGAAAGCATTTGTCAAAATCCTCTTTGCCGTTAGTATACTCGTGTACAGCATCGAGGCAAGCTTTGAAATCAGTAATGGTGCTGAAGGCGGTCTGTAAAGCACACAGATAATTATCTTAGCTGGTTCCGAAGTACACATGAGAAGCTGACAGGAGTCTTTGTCAAGCGACTCAGTGTTTGTGATGTGCAGGTCACGGTGGGTTTAAAGGAGTACCCCACCCCCAATCCTGGTACTACGGTCAAATTGGTGGGTATGATAGTCTTTTATGCTGATTTGGGCATCGTGCACATAAGATTTCAACCACTTTTCCGTTTATAGAGCTATGAATGTCTTCAAGATAAGGGATTTTCCAACTGCAGACACTCCTAGCACTAGGGTTAACTGACTGTACATTTAACAGCAGGAAGGATGAATAGGAGTCATATTCGGCGGGTAGAACATCTGTTGACTCTGAACTGGATCCGATTAATTCTCCATCCTCTGTTGGTACAGTTGATGACACAGAACTGAATCTTCAAAACTATATTATGACTCGGGAATCGAAAACTTGTGAGAAATGGTCATGTAACATGAATGGAATGGAAGTTTTAGGATTAAGCAGACTAATGGTGACAAACTCTTTCAACAAGGTGAACTAAAGCGGAAGATTATAAATGGGATGGTGTGTCATGTGATAGATGAAATAGGCCTTATAGGATGGCTAATTAATTGAGTGAAGCTTATTGGTTTAAGTGAAATGCGTCTACAGAACTTAATGACAGGTATGAAACTATTTGCTGGAAAATGAAAACTTACATGATTTGAGGTTCTGAAACTGTGAAAAAATCGGTACAATTTGAGGTGAAGGTGACTCATGATAATTTACAACAAACAATATATAAACTATATAAATACTACTGAGCAATTACTTCATTAGGATTAGAACGTGATTACATAAATATTAAAGTTATTCTAAATTTCAATATAATCTAATTCTTAAATAATAGTATGTACCTAAACTAAAATATGCCTATCGCACACGAGGAAAACTGCTGCCGAGAATTTTAGGTAATAAGTTCAAAATATCGAAAGGTAAACTGTTCTCCGAGAATCTCGTTTCAAAATGTAATGTAACTGTAAACGCTGCTTTTAGTTTTAGTTTTGGCAAAAACTGACTCATAATAATAATAATCTATAAATATCACAAACTACTCAGAAGTCTATAAATAAAAACTACTCAGAAGTCTATAAATAAAAACTACTCAGAAGTCTATAAATAAAAACTGCTCAGAAGTCTGTTAATGTCAACTACTCAGAAGTCTATAAATAAAAACTGCTCAGAAGTCTGTTAATGTCAACTACTCAGAAGTCTATAAATAAAAACTACTCAGAAGTCTATAAATAAAAACTGCTCAGAAGTCTGTTAATGTCAACTACTCAGAAGTCTATAAATAAAAACTACTCAGAAGTCTATAAACAAAAACTGCTCAGAAGTCTGTTAATGTCAACTACTCAGAAGTCTATAAATAAAAACTACTCAGAAGTCTATAAATAAAAACTACTCAGAAGTCTATAAATAAAAACTGCTCAGAAGTCTGTTAATGTCAACTACTCAGAAGTCAGAAGTGTGTTAATACCAATTATATTTTTACCATGAGTGGTCGAATGTCACGCAGGATATGAAGTGCTTTGCATTTAAATCGGCTGTATCTTCGGTTCAGATGGATATATATTTTGATGCGATAAAAACTTACTACCACTGAATATTATTACTTTCTTCCCTGTGACCACGGGCTTTCTATTATTCTATAAACATCAACTACCCCCCCCCCCCCCCCCAGATTGAGAGTGCTGACTGATCTCTCTTGATACATTTTAATTTTCTCTATTCCCATCATACCGACTGATAGGGGTGTTGAATTCCTGACCAAAATAGAAGCCTTCATAGTTCACAAAAGTACATTATTTTGTAATTATTATATAGCATCCAATAATCAATAATAATCAACTATGCTCCAGAGAAAGCGTGTGAACAAGGATTTTCGCCGTGCTCGAACGGTGAATGTGTCGAAGATGCCTGGGTATGTGATGGGGAACAAGATTGTAGTGATGGGTCAGACGAAAAAAACTGCTCAGGTTGAGTATCTATAAACTTAACTTATTTACCAATTTAAAACAATTGTAACCCAATGATAACGGACTAAAATTTCCGTCAGATTTTGGGACGTAGACGGTACCTTTAAAAAAATTGCTATTATCTGGATCATAGTCAAATAACATTATACTTTATTTAGTTGACGTAAGTACGCCTGCTTAGCTACACCAAATCGGGCGTCTTCCAGTTACTGATCAAAATATTCAAAATTCCTTGTATATAGATGTGGTGTGATAGTGCTGACTGATCTCTCTTGCTACATTTTAATTTGCACTATTCCTATCATACCGACTGATAGGGGTGTTGACTTCCTGACCAAAATAGAAGCCCTCATAGTTCACAAAAGTATATTATCCTGTAATTATGATTTATTATAGCATCCAATAATCAATAATAATAAACTACTCTCCAGAGTGTCAAGAAGGATTATGGTTGTGCTCGGGCGATGAGAAATGTATCATCAATGCCTGGGTATGTGATGGAGCAGACGATTGTGATGATGGGACAGACGAATCAACTGCAACCTGCTCTCCTGCAGGTTGAGTATCTATAAACTTAACTTATTTACCAATTTAAAACATATGTTACCCAATGATAACGGACTAAAATTTCCGTCAGATTTTGGGACGTAGACAGTACCTCAAAAAAATTGCAATTATCTGGATAATAGTCAGATAATATTATACTTTATTTGACCAAAACCCATAATAATGGGTCATCTAGCCATATTTTAAGGTATGTCGAGTAATTGGGGTAGAATATTGGGTGCCTATCGTTATTATGAGGACATTATAAATTTGTATTTTATATTATTAGTAGTGATCAATAGTGTAACCCAGCCATAGGGCCGGGACTACGCTATTACAGCTGAAACAATTTATATTTCATATTGTCAAGTTTATGTGGAATGGCCAAGTTATATAGTAGTATAGTATTGAGATTTGTCGCGGCAAATGTTAACAAGAATTGCGCCCGTTGTTTCGTTTTGGCGGACGCTAGATTTCCATTTCACATTTACTATAGATTTAAGTATAAGCTCCAATCAGCTCATTTCAATATTAATGATCTGATAATAATATTGATAAATTATGCATCAAATACGGCAAACACTTGAAATTCAGTTCAATTGCCGTAGAACTTAACTTGTATCTGTAATTCAAGAAATTATCGGCAAACCTAATAGTAATATTATACATTACATGCATCATATACGTTAAAACACAGTCGCGCCGCGCCTTCATAGATCACAGGCTATCTATACATCACATCTCCGAAAGCAATCCTCGCGCGCGCGCAACTTTTTCGTTGCATGGTAACGGACGTAAGGAAGGAAGGACACACGACATATTTAAACCCACCTATCTCGTTCTCCAAAATCCACGTTTTTCTGCAAAAACCTCCATTCGTAACCTGTCACTATTGCCTTTTTTCAAAAGGGTGAAAAGGAAAAAATAATTCAAGTCTTTTTATGTCTCACTACTTTAAAATGGAAGGCACGCTTGTTTAATACGGCTGAAGATTTATTATAAACTAAACTCGACTTACTTCAACTTTCTTTATTTACAATTATTTAAATCTAAGAACAGTTAACTAAAACAGCTTCATACTTAAAGGTGACCGTTGTTGGTAGTTATCATCTCAGCAATGTCTTGTCCTCAGATATACTCCTTTAACTCTATAAGTTTCGTTAAAGCAGATATACAGTAAGATGAAGTATTTTGTTTAATGGCTAGGGTTAGGGCTGAGTCAGATTAGAGGGATAAGCTGATAAAGTTTTGAATATTTTGAATAGTCACTAAGAAACACCTAGAGAACGTGTTAAAGTATAAGTCAAGTGATTGTCGAGTGAATAAGAGTTTAACTTTCGATCTCAATAGTTGAATAAGTTTATCGAGTGATGCAGGTTGAGCAAACCAACAGTTTTGGACAAAATATTAGTTTTATGACGACAATGAACTGCCACAATTATTTATAAAAACTGTTATCTAACTGAGTGGTCTAGTTAGTCACGAAATCATCATGTTATGTTTCTAACCCTGTACAATGCATCAAGTGTTGCAAATTGTTGCCTCAGGTGCCTCAGCGCCTCAAAACTGGTTTTTCAAGGGCCTAAAAGTCGTGCCTTCGGTGCCTCAGTGCCTCAAAGCGTCACAAGGTTATCTGAAGAAACTCCAACGGGAGACGATTGTGTTGATGAAGCGGATTCAACCACTGAAAAATCATATAGTTTCTCAAACAGTTATACTTATACTGCGTTATTAACACTGTCCACTGATCGCTACTCTCTAGGTCGCCTTTACCGCGCCTGATTCACAGATACCCGATTTAATACGCCCCAATTTACTGCAAACCCCAATATACCTCACTATTGTAAGCGAGAAACTGTTCTTGTTTTTGCTATAACAATGTTTTCTAAAAAGAATAACCAATGGATTAGCTCCCACTCCACTCCCAGCTCCAGATTGTATTGAAAATGACGGATCAGAGTACAGGGGAAAGGTAGCTGTCACAAAATCAGGACGCAAATGCCAGGGATGGGACTCTCAATCACCTAACACACAGAATTTTGGATCCAAGCAAGAGTAAATTTTTTCGTTGCTTTTTAAGCCGTTCTACACTTCTAAAGTTATTCAAAAGTCTTTTTGTTGCTTCTTATTTGGATTTATTCTTTTTTATGTTTGAGACCATCATGGTAACTTTGCAGATGGTATATTGTTACTTATCACTCTGTTTACCCCCATAACACTTTTAATCTATATGATTATAATATTATATACATCGAAAATGCACATCATTGACTATTTTAGGAAAAGACCTCATCATAAAAACATTTTCAGATACACTAGATTAGGACTGCAAGAGAACTATTGCAGAAATCCAGACGGGTAAGTTTTCAATATCTGGTAGTGTTCCATAATTATTGTCATCAAGTCGAGCACAAGGTATGGGCACAAACATTTATAAAATAAATCTACAAAAAAACTGCAATGAAGATGGATTTAGAAATATAATTGATCTATGAAATTTCTTTTCTGAAATATTCCATTGTAACATATGTCATAATTTTCCTCAGTGGCTCAGGCCCCTGGTGTTATAATGGCGAGCTGGAACTGTGCCTCGATGGGAGTACTGTGATACACCTACATGTGGTAATTAACTGTGGTGAATTTTTTGCACAAGGTTTTTGCCATTGAATCGAGTTAAATAAGTTATTGTAACTTGTAATAAGTTGTTTGTTGTTTGTTTGTTTGTTTGTGATTATTTTACTATATAAGTATATACTAGCAGGAACCCGTATAATATAACCCTAAACGGTGTCAATACTCAATACACTACTTTAACGCGACTTTCCGCAAAAAACCGTAAAAGATATACAACTGAAACTTTTTTGGCTGGGTCAAAAGCTTTAATGGTCTCCAAATCAGCATGAAAAAATAAAAAATTGGCCAAGGAATAATATTAATGATTCTAGAGCCGAAAATGTGGACCCCCAAGTGGTGTCAAAAACGCCAATTAAATAGGTTATAATTATTTTAGTGTATTGTCATTAAGTCTTGACACCATTTAGGGTTACTAGCAGGAACCCGTATAAACCTAAAAGTGTTATTTTTATGAAACAAGCTTAATGAACTACCGACTGATAAAATTCAGCAAGTCAAAACAAATAAAATTATGATATCAGCCGATAAACTCGCGGCTGATTATTTAATAGTTTGACACTGAATGGTAAATAGCGAATACATAGTTGAATACAGATGTTACTTTACATTTACATGAGCAAATAAGATTGCGGCATGTCGAGTAAGCATCAAAATTTATTAGTTTATGTTAGACACAAATAATAGTAATACAATGAGACAGAATATTATATAACATTCAATAAAGTTGGCATACGATACAATAATTATAGGACGTGACATGATGTGCGCATTGTTAACACGAAACAAAACCGCGCAAAATATGATGTGGTCTACAAGTGACTACAACCAAACCACAAATCGACGTAAACTCAGTGAAGGCGAAACGTCAGAATCTGACGCTTTTTTGAAAAAAGCTGCCGTTATTTGTTTCTCCGGCAAAATATTCGGAGTTAAAGTATCGCATCGGTCATATTTGGTCTATCACTATGTGATGATCAATTTAAGTTATGGTTATATTTAAAATGTTTATATCTAATGGTCGAATAAATATTTGCAGGTCATCAGTAAGCCAGACAACTAAAAAGGAGCTGATGTACAAGAAGTTCAAACGAAAAGGATTATATAATTTAAATTTAGTGACTGAAATTTGCAGCAACTGGACTGTTTAAGTTTTTTTTGAACTTCATTGTTTTCATATTATAAAGTCTTTATGCATATAATTTTTTGGAGCATCAAACGTCTTTAAATCAGGATATACGCATATTATTATTATATATGTTTACTAGTATGTTATTTAATAACGTGAGATACTCGTAAAATATTTATTTCAAATATTCAAGAACGTCGACGATTTCAACGATCGGCGCGTTTTGGTAATAGTAGATTATAAACCTACAAGTACAATATGTTATACTACCTTATGATATATTTTAATTTGTCTTAAAACTGCATCATTATTTTGAGTGGGGTAAACCATGGTTCCAAATCAAATTATTCAGACTTCAGGTTGTTAAGTTTATTAAGTTAATAGGCCACACCCTATTTTACGCTCACAGTAGCAGTTTAAACTTAATTAATCCACCTCTTAAACACCGGGGTGGAAGTTGTATAGTCGGGAATGTTATAACCAGCTCCTTCATCCTTGATTACTAACTTTGAGGTAACTTTACAATACATCATGGGGGAGGGGGGGGGGCGTTTGAATGTGGGACAATTTTTAAAACAACGCGTTACTCCACTAACCCCAACTATCTCTACCTGGAGATGCGTGTCAGTATACTTGCTTACTTGTTAACACATTATATGTGTTAGTTAAATTATATGTGTTAGCAGTACCTACATATCGCTGTGTTTTTACATATTAGCATATTGAAACTCGAGTATTATATTTCATCCGGTATAACAGACGTACCATGTGGTTAGTTCTTTTGAGGCACTTGAGGCAGCACTTTGAGGCCCTGAGGCACTTGATGCACCACTTTGAGGCCCTTGAGGCAGCACTTTGAGGCCCTGAGGCACTTGAGGCACCAATTCTCAACACTTGATACATCGTACAGGGTTAGAAACATAATATGATGATTAATGGATTGATCTCGGCACTAACTGACCAACTAAACTAATCATTAATCAGTACTCGTCCAAATTATTGTGCCGATAATGCTCAACGGTTTAAAATGTAAAACATTTTTCTTATTTATATTTGGAATTTGGATGCTCATTTCTAAACAATACTTATTATTACTCAAATGGGACGTTGGTTTATACATTATAACTTCATATTGGTACTCTTTATTCGCTATTATGAGTGGGTCGATCATATATTTTGATGATAGTTTGTGACGAAATGAAAGTTTCCACTCAGTGTTTCACTAAGTGTTTCACTAACTCTCACTTTGTCACCAACAGTCATCATCTCCCTATGTCTTTCAACAAACCTGATGTTCTTAAGAAACACAAGCTATAAACACATGGCGATGATGAGTTCAAGTGTAGGTATTGTGGGAGACGTTTTTTACGTTCAGATACACTTTAAAAGAACACATTCAGATACACAGAGAGAGAGCACACGAGTGTGATGTGTGTGGTAAGCGGTTGACTAGAAACAGTAATCTCACAGTGCATATGAGAATTCACACAGGAGCAAAACCCTACTCCTGTACTCACCGGAGTATGGAATTTAATGTAAGTAGTGCAAAAAACAGACATGAAAGTAGCTGTAATTAATATAAATAATATTAAATATCTGTCTCAAACTTTATTCGAATACATTTGCTAAATAAGAAAAATCTAGATGATGGATCATTTTTAAAATTTGCCTTATTGGGTCCTCGCTGTGTTTGATGAAAGAAGAATCAGGAGGAGGTGTAGCATCGTTTGTGATAGAGCGCCGTTTCTTTGGTAGTTGCAGGTGGGCTGACGGTTGTTTCTTTAGCTGATACTAATGAGATTGCGTCAGCAGAGGTTTTGAAACAAATCCCCCTCCATGAAGCTAAGATCATTAACTTATACCACCCTATGGAAACAAGAAGTTACACTAACACCGTCTTGTCTTAACGTTTTACTCGCAAATTGTCCTTGATTAAAGCAAACGTACTTGATTCTAGTAGCCCCTACCTCCTCGAACTCTACGCAGTTGTTGAATGTACTGTGCTATTGTTCTATGGAAGCTATAAGTCTCTTCAAATATTACAATACAATGGGTCGTTCACATATTACGTAATCAATATTTTAGCAATTTTTAATCAACCGCCGTTATGATTTGGGAACCCCCTCCCCCCTCGGTTGATTACGTTATATGTGAACGAACCCTAATCCCAAACTTAACCCCTCAAGAACTGAGCAGACTTATTATCTTGTTACCAGACGGTAGGCTGACTCATATGAGTAGCATGTTCTTATTGTTATTTTACTCAATTCTAAGATCATTAGCTTACACCACCATAGTCCCTACCTCATCGAACGTACTTGATTCTAGCTCCTACCTCCTCGAACGTACTTGATTCTAGTAGCCCCTACCTCCTCGAACTCAGCTACGAATACAATGTATTGTTTTTGTATATTAGAGCTTTAGCCACAGGTAGGTTGGTCTGCACGGAGCCCCACAGTTTCAATTCCTTGTTTAACTAGCCGTACAGCAAGGATATCCACTAGGCACCAGCAAACGGCACTTTGTCTTTACACTTAGCTAACTTGTACTTGTACTACAAGTTGGATACAAGTTGCATCTTCAAGTTGTAGATCGATACTTCATAAGTCATACTGCCATAGCGATTGGTTCATAATTTATCTTTCATCTACCAGTATATATACTACCCTTGCAAGCTTTCGACACGAAAGTTTCATGTCCCTTGATACTAGAACCAACCCCATTAGCAAGAGCTCCCGTCTCTTATGTGATCTACGAGTCGAGCAGACAAGATCATGTTAACTTCTTAATGTACATCTACATCTATACTTCCGTGTATAATTATCTTTATCCCGGTTGTTGTGACAAGTAAAGATGCTATCATTAAGGAAAGGAGTTTACGTTTCAATGTAACTATATACATCGTGTTCATGATCTCAAATTATTTGTTATATAGTAGTGTTGAAAGTATTAAATTTTTGTCATGAATTTCACACGGTACTACTATAACCAGAGGCTACTCGCTTACAAAAACTTGTTTACTATCTTAACAAGTTTTTGTTTGTATATATTTTTAGTATACATTGGCTGGTACTACTATATACTACGGGCTAGTAAAGTGGTTTGTTATTATAATGGGTTCAATTTAAATAGGGTTTTGATCTGCATTGAGGCTTGAGTTGGACAATTTCGTCTGCAAAATCTGTTGGGTAATACAATTGGGTAGATTTGAAATTTTATCAAATTATTATGATTATGACAAAGAATTTAATTTGTTCAACTTTTCATTATACGGCCATTTAGCTAGCTTCTCGTAAATTATTCACTTTCCCTGTGCATACTTACCGTTCTCCTACTAATCGGGACTAATCGGTAATTTAACCCTTATTATTTCCACTCTTATATCTCCAGCGTGACAACAACATGTGAGGTTCACCTTTACGATATTTGTTTTCATGCTTTTATAAACTTCGTTATTATGAAATCTTTACACCATATTACTTCACACCACGTTTTTATAAAGTATGAATCAGTATGAATTCATACTGGTTCATACTTTAAAGCTACGGCGTTTTTAATTCAGAGGAAGCACTTTCCCAACTATTTACTTTAAAAGGCTAAATTGTATCACTATCAGAGTGAAATTGAGTGGAATTTGAATTAATTTAGAAAATTTTCCTTTTCATCTACCTCAGAAGCCTAGTTTTGAATTTGAATGTTATTGTAATGTAAACTTAGAACATTTTCCCATCATCATCCATTCTCCCCACTCCACCCTTGCACATCACACACCCCTCATCATTGACATCACTCCATCATATATAATCATCCCTTCACAACATTATCCCTAGCTGAAGACGATTAACACATGTATTTTGAAAGCTCCTGCAAAAAAAAATTTTCGTATCTTTATAGGTTTTGAAACAAATCCCCCTCCATGAAGCTACCACCCTATGGAAACAAGAAGTTACGCTAACACCGTTTTACTCGCAAATTGTCCTTGATTAAAGGAGGGGGTGCACGATAAAAATTAACTTGCTTCGATTATCAAAATTTTTGTACCATTGTTTTCTAGAGACTGTGAGAATTTTGACTGACTGACTGACTTAAGTCGGCTTCTTGGTCCGAGCAGCTACAATTCCTCGCCACACTTCGCGGACAAGCATAGCAGATCTTATCTCGTCAACACAGGAAAGGCTGGTGTCCTTCTTTAGCATGTCCAGAAACGTAAGGTGGGGCCTTCCCGGTCTCCTGTATCCATGCTGAGGGTCCCAGAACAGAAGTTGGTTTGCCAAAAGGTCGTCATGCCTGGCTACATGTCCAGACAGTCTCATTCTTCTGGAGGCTATCATCACTGATGGCTTGGGGATGTTGCCGTATAAATCACTGTTGTTGATGATTTGTGGCCCACGTATGTTCAAGGCCATCCGGAGCATTTTAGTGTAGCATCCATTGATCCGCTTAGTTATGGATTGACTTATAGTTATCGTCCAAGCTTCAGAGCCGTACAGGAGTACGGACTCAACCGTTGCTCGAAAGACACGGATCTTTAAATCCCTGCGCATTCCAGACTTCCAGGTTGTCTTTAACTGTGAGAATTTTCATAGTACCAAATTTGTCATACTTTTTTGGAATGAGCAGTAAGTTTCGCCTAGGTGCCATATTTGATGGTGCGCGGCTTTAGCAAGCAAAATAACGTGTAAAAGTCACGTAATTTGACGAAATTCGTTGATTTTTGTCGTATTATTTTGTCATTTCTTCGGTTCCTTAACATGAATCATGTTGAAAATTTGTCAGAACCTTCCAATCATACTCAGCTACCGAATCTAAATTAGTTGAGAGAGATTAGCTTTGATTAAAAGGTCTAAACATGACAAAATAGGTATAGATTCGTTGATAACTCAAATTCTGACCATCGAAATTGCTCAAACTATTTTAGGTTCAGTAGAACATACCTTATCGGACCTTATTTGGACGGACATTACTTGAACGCTGGAGGCCCTAGCGTTCATCTTAATGTCCGTTCAAATAAAGTCCGTTCAATTAATGTCCGTCCAAGTTAAAGTCCGTTGAAATTTTTTCAAAAATTTTTCCATTTCGAAATTTTTGTCCAGAATATGACAACTTTGGGAACTTTATTGTGCCGTAAGTTAACGACGGCGGAAAAAAGTCAACGAAATTATGGCACTCAACAACATAGTTCATGAACTAGTCCCCGCCAACAGGCAACATGATAAACTTGTTCCAGCCTCTAGATATTACGGTAAATCGTGTTGCCAAGGACATTGTCCGACGTTGTTATAGTTCATATTACTCGGGGGCGGTAATGAAACAGTGCTAGGAAAGCTCCACGTGATGTTAAGGTTAACCTTAAGTTGTCTAAGATAAAACCACTTCACGCCGAATGGCTTGTAAAAGTTAACACTGAAATGCAGGACCAGGGTAGTTTGATTTTTAAAAAGGTTTCCATAAAGCTTTAAAGCATCAGGTACCCATTTGATGAAGATGATATGTAATATTAGACACTGATCATGTACACATATTTTAACATTTTTACTGCTTAATGACTGCTTTTCTTACTTACTGTATAAAAAATGGATTTAAAAATTATTTGCTGAAATTTTAAAAACGTCAAAAAAATTGAAAAAAATTCGGATTTTTTATGGTTTTGAATGCTTTCGAGCGTTCATATTAATGTCCGTTCTTAATTGTGTCCGTTCATGTAATGTCCGTCCAAATAAGGTCCGATAAGGAAGTGTTTACGTAAGCTGACCAAATTTCAACAAAATTTTTATATGGGAAGAATTGTAACTTTTTGATTGTTTCCGAAATAATGTGCTGGCCGAAATAAGAGCTAAAAAACCATTCAATGGTCAGCGCGCGCGTCTTACGGTCGATGGCGCACGTCCTAATTAAAGTAAACGTACTTGATTCTTGTAGCCCCTACCTCCTCGAACTCTACGCAGTTGTTGAATGTACTGTGCTATTGTTCTATGGAAGCTATAAGTGTCTTCGATTATTACAACTTTACAATACAATGGGTCGTTCACATATTACGTGAACAATATTTTAGCAATTCTTAATCATTAACCGTTATGATTTGGGAACCCCCTCCCCCCTCGGTTGATTACGTTATATGTGAACGAACCCTAATCCCAAACTTAACCCCTCAAGAACTGAGCAGACTTATTTTCTAGTTACCAGACGGTAGGCTGACTCATATGAGTAGCATATTCTTATTGTTATTTTACTCAATTCTAAGATCATTAGCTTATGCACCACCCTAGTCCCTACCTCCTCGAACGTACTTGGTTCTAGCTCCTACCTCCTCGAACGTACTTGATTCTAGTAGCCCCTACCTCATCGAACTCAGCTACGAATACAATGTATTGTTTTTGTATATTAGAGCTTTAGCCACAGGTAGGTTGGTCTGCACGGAGCCCCACAGTTTCAATTCCTTGTTTAACTAGTCGTACAGCAAGGATATCCACTGCACCAGCGAACGACACTTTGTCTTTACACTTAGCTAACTTGTACTACAAGTTGCATCTTCAAGTTGTAGATCGATACTTCATAAGTCATACTGCCATAGCGATTGGTTCATAATTTATCTTTCATCTACCAGTATATATACTACCCTTGCATTCTTTCGACACGAAAGTCTCACGTACCTTGATACTAGAACCACCCCCATTAGCAAGAGCTCCCGTCTCTTATGTGATCTACGAGTCGAGCAGACAAGATCATGTTAACTTCTTAATGTACAGCTACATCTACTGGTGGATCACAGCACTAATATGATATGACCCCTTATTGGGGTCCTCCTTAGTCCGTCTTTCGTCAGCTGCACTACTCCGGTTATATTTGTTCTAAAACCTCACAACTCTGTCTCGATCATTTTAAGATTAAACAACATCTTCAAATTAAACAATACGATATTTTTGGAACAAAATAAAACAAGGTAGAGTTCGATTGTTGAGACACGACGAGTTCAGTGGTTAAGGGGTTTTCCAAACTCCAGGGGCTCGTGAAGTGTCTTACACAACCTCTCCGAGCCCAAGATCCGTAGTGCGTGGTGAAGAGCCACACCCTTCTCGAGGTGCCACTGTTAAGCTTAGTAGCCTGTTCTGGGTGATTCCAGTTAAAACAGGTGAACGGTAACAGAACACTGCGGCTCTAGACCAGTACAGGTCGAAAAATATAACCGGGACATCTGTCTCGTTAGGACTGCATGCAGTTCATCGAGTGCGAAGGGCCAGCATCCCTTCCACCTCAAATAACAACGCTACTGAAACAACACACACATCAAATGGACGGAGTGCTACTTCCAATTCAAGGACGGATGGTTCCAGCATGACGGAGGCTGGGCAAAGCCTACGGGACCCCAGTCGCCTGATGAGAAGAGGGGGTACTCGTCATCCGACCAGATTTATTAGTCAACAGATCATCCATGTTGACCCTGCTTCCAACAAATCCAATCCAGTAAATTATTGCAAACAGTTTTTACGTTTTGGAACATGGAACGTTCTATCTCTTGTCAGCTCATCTACACAGCTCTACCAACTTAGTAAAAACATTGATCAGTACAGATTGGATCTTTTGGGGATCACCGAGACTCACATGCCTGGATCTGGCACCACTCTACTGGACAATGGCAGTCTACTCATCCATTCCGGTAGAGTCGACGGGATCAAGAGACAGGGAGTCGGTCTCAGTCTTTCAAAACGAATCAGAAACTCCCTGATATCGTTCACTCCCACATCGGAGCGGGTTTTAACTGCTAGGCTGCATAGTAAGCAAATCAACATCTCTGTTGTTGTGGCCTATGCTCCAACTGAGGGTGCAGAGGAGAGTGAGAAAGATAAGTTTTATAGGACACTCACAGATACATTTGATGGGCTACCTCGTCACGATATCAAGTTACTGCTCGGCGATTTTAATGCAAAAGTAACATCAGGCAGATATGGAAGTGAAGCGGTCATCGGTGGGGAATCACTCCATAGCTCATCAAATGACAACGGGACAAGACTTGTGGATTTCTGTGCGACGAACCAGCTTGTCATCGGGGGAACTCTCTTCGAGCACAAGAACATTCACAAGGGAACATGGCGGTCCCCCAACGGGCTCACCGTCAATCAGATAGATCATATCTGCATTGGAAAGCGGTTTCGTCAGTCACTTTTTGATGTTAGGGTATGTCGCGGGGCAGACATCGGCTCCGATCATTATCTGGTTCTAGGACTGCTGAAAATCAAACTTCAGTCAGTGACAAAGATCAACGCCAACAGGCCCAATGTGCCTGCCATTGAGCGCCTGAGGGATAGTACTACGGTTTTAGAGTACAATGTGGCTCTTCAAAACCGATTTGCAAGTCTGGATAGTGAGGTCGACCTCGAGGATATGTGGCGTAATCTCAGTCAGACCGTCACTGATGTCTCACTGGAGGTACTAGGCAAAAGACCCCGGAAGGCAAAGGAGCAACACCTGTCACGGAAGACCAAGGATTTATTGACTCAGCGGGCACAGTTTAAGCGCAAAGACCCAAACTCGGACACTAACAGGTCAGAGTATTCTAAACTTAATAAGTTAGTCAAGAAAAGCAGCAAGCTAGACGACAATAACTGGGCAGTAATTAGAGTAGCTACTGATCTTGAGGAAGCAGCGAGCAAAGGTCAGCAGCGTGAGGTATGGGCAAAGATCAAGAAGATCTCTGGTAAGAACAAGAAGCCTCAAGCATCTTGTGTCCGGGACAAGGACGGTAGGAAGATCACGGATCCCCAACAGCAGAGGGATAGGTGGAAGGAGCACTTTACTGAACTTCTGAACCCCCATCATCAAGTGTCAACCTTGCCGACCTTGATACAGTACCACCCCAACCCCACTTTAACTCTCTCTCTTGTTCGGATGGACCACCCACCAGAGACGAGATTAGTTATTCCCTGACAAAGCTTAAGAACAACAAAAGCCCAGGAGTGGATGGGATAACTAACGAGCAACTGAAGTATGGTGCGAGTGCTCTAGTTGATCAACTAGAGTGTCTATTCAAGAAAGTGTGGGAAGAAGAGACTGTTCCTGAAGATTGGTTAAAGGGTGTGATCATTGTTATTGGGAAGAAAGGAGACACTTCAGTCTGCGGGAACAACAGAGGGATCACCTTAAGGTCTACAGCATCCAAGCTTTTTCAGATGATTCTTCTTAAGCGGTTACATGCTGGTATGGAGTGTCTCCTCAGGGAGAATCAGTGCGGATTTCGACAGAACCGCTCATGTATTGATCAGATTTATTCTCTCCGAACTATTATTCATAACTGTCTTGATTTTTTTACATTAATTTTGTGGATTTCAAGGCAGCGTTCGATTCTATCAGAAGGGACTTTATTTGGTGCAGTATGAGACACTATGGGCTGCCTGAAAAATATGTCAGAATATTTCAGTCATTTTTTGGGGGTACCATGAGTGCCGTGAGGGTTAATGGGGAGCTGACAGACTGGTTTGATGTTAACTCAGGCACAGGTCAGGGTGACATTCAAGCACCTCCTGTCTTTAATTTCTGCCTAAACTTTTCTGCATTTCTGGCTGAGACCAACAAGATCATCAGTCAAGGCGCAGTGCTGCAGAAAGAGATGAAGACGGTCGAGGAAAAGGTCATTCTGGACACCGATTATGCTGATGACATGGCTATTATGGACAACTCAGGGGAAGGCCTACAGGAATCAACTGATCTATTAGTTCATTACAGCTCCTACGCTGGGCTCAGAATAAATGCAAAGAAGACCCAATGCATGGCTGTAAGCAAGTGCGCCTCCCAGCGACCTTTCATCAAGGATGATTGTATTGAGCTGTCGGTTGAGGGTGAACCCGTCGAGCAGGTTAGCAACTTTGTCTACCTGGGTGCAACTATTAGTGGGGATGGGACAATCAACAGAGACCTGGATGTCCGTATCCAGAAGGCTAATGGCGCCTTTCATCAGCTCTGGAACATTTGGAATAGCAGAACTATAAAGACTCCAACCAAGATCAGGATCTATAGGGCTGCTGTCCTCACCATCTTGTTGTATGGAGCTGAAGTCTGGAACACCACCAAAAAGCAGATGAAACGTTTCGAGGTTTTCCATCAAACCTCCTTGAGAAGGATCCTTAGGATTAAATGGTTCTTTCATGTAACCAACGACGAAGTTCTTAGGAGGGCTGGCATCAAGTCAGTTGAGACTTTCATCAGTGCTGCCAGGCTACGTTGGTATGGACATGTAGTTAGAATGCCAGACTCTAGACTACCGAGGTTTCTGTTGAACTGGAAGCCAAACTATGGAAAGAGGTAAAAACATCGACAACGACACAACAGAAGCTTTGGCTACCAACCGAGTACAGTGGAGACATATGTTACGCCGCCAACGCGATGTGTGTGATGCAGGCCACTCCAACGACTAGGAGGAGACCTTACCATGTAACATGTATGTATGATGAGTTCAGTTATTCCTTTTAAAGACTAAGAGTTGCTTTATGCAGTTCACTGCATTCAGTTCTGTTCCAGGCACTTTGAGCTTGGTGGGCGATAATTCAGTAACTCATTTTGTCGTGAATTTCACACGATACTACTATAAGAGGCTAGTCGCTTACAAAAACTTGTTTACTATCTTAACAAGTTTTTGTTTGTATATATTTTTAGTATAAATTGGCTGGTACTACTATATACTACGGGCTAGTATAGTGGTTTGTTATTATAATGGGTTCAATTTAAATAGGGTTTTGATCTGCATTGAGGCTTGAGTTGGACATTTTCGTCAGGAAAATCTGTTGAGTAATACATTTGGGTAGCTTTGAAATGTTATCAAATTATTATTTATATTATGATTATGACAAAGAATTTAATTTGTTCAACTTTTCCGTACAAATTTAAGAAGACTGAACTGTTATTATAAGGCTTTTAAACATTTCCATTTAAGATGACTGGTTCCATTTTCATAAAATAATTATCAAAAATTAATAGAATATCAATAACTGCGTTTTAAACGATTCATTCAATTTTTATTGTGGCATGAAGGTCAGTTTCCACTTTGAAATTCGTTTTTTACCCTTATTACAATATTCCACTTTCCAGAATAACAGAATAAAGAATGAACATGTCTCTGAAAATCGTTGTGGTCACTGCTTTGACGCTTTTGGCAGTGAGTGCAGTTTTTGGAAAAGGTAGGAAAATGACCGAATAATGCATGTTCAATGCAATATTGATTTTAACTTTTATAATCGTATCTTTAACTCAAATTTAATATTATGCTTTATACCGATCTGCGCATTTCAAAAGTTTTTTTTTGTCAGTTATAATAGGTACTTAACTCAATGATTAGATGGTGTGATCTGCCACCTGTCATAGTTTTCCAAGAAATAAATAAGTCTAGTAACAAACAAATTAACCCGCTTCAATACTGACATCTATAATAATAACGGTCGCCGTCAGACCGGCTTACTCCGGCCATTTATGTTTTAACTCATTTAAATACCGGACGAATAACGTTTCTCAATGACTTTTTGTGAAATACAGCTGTTTGTTGACCAACAAACTATAGGCTTATAGGGCCCGTGACCGAACTTTTGAGTGGGTTCCAGACTCCTGGTGCCCGCAGGACAACCACGCCCATATTTGGTCAACTTTTGGCTCAATTTTTCCAAATCACCTTAACATGGTAGATGGGAGACCGATGAAGGGATCTCCACATTTCTTTCAGGGTCCCGGGATCTTGTTCTTGTATATAGACAATTTTGCCTTATTGTTAAAATTCTTTATAAACATGAAGATAATCAACCGGGCAACACGCACAATACAAAAACTTTCAGATAAATACAACTTACGGTATTGAAGTTATAAGGTAAACTGCCACCATGTTTGAATAGAAGGTCAAAGGTTCGAATCCCAGTGTCAAATAGCTATAAAAATGATATAGTAAAACATACTACTTACTTTTGTTGGGTTTAGTGCACTGCAACAGGGTCATCAACTATCTTGACCGCCCTATAGCTCAGATGTTACAGGACCCTTTCGCCATTCCAGGATGGAGTTGGTATTGAGGGATATGTATCCCTTGACCGGAGGCTGGTCAGGGATCTGCCGGAGCAAGGATGTGAGTTGTATTTTGAAGGATTCAAATTCTTCCATCCTGTTAATGTAACCAGGAAGAAAATTCCAGAGACGTGGGCCAATAACAGCGAACGAATTGTCATAGAGACTCTGGTGGTAAGCAGCAACACCCTTTGGCAGTATCGAGATAGCCCGACCACTGTCCGCGGACCACTGTCTGCGGACCACTGTCTCAAGACAATCATTTCTATCATCAACTCCTTCTTGAACAACTACAAATATGGTCTCAGAGAAAACGAAACGGATGAACTCAGCCCTACCCTGCGACCCTATCTGCAAACCTATCTCACCTCTCGACAAGTGGACTCAAGCTGGTAAAACCCTCATCGTCTCCAGAGCCAACCCAAGCTTCTGCGTTTTCTGCAACAAGAGGCATGCTGGTATATCATGCGCTGCTCATGACCCTGTAGCATCTTCTGATGCCGGAGGTCTTGCTAACTCCTCTGCTCATGCTCCTCGTGTCCGCTCCAAATGTAACAACTGCAACTGCGTTGTTATGAATGTCCACCGAGAATCTTCAGTCCTCGATGGGATCCTACATTCTACTACAAAAAAGATAACAAAGCTTTGTCCTGAGCATCAACTCCCGGACTCCATTCCACCAACTCCTCAAGACACGATAGATAGAGACAACGCTGAACCCTTCACATGTCAGGAATTGGAATAGTTGTTGTTGTTGATGATGGCAACTGATAATACTTCACCAAAAACGAACGACTTATATACCACATTTTAATCGTAATCATTTATTTCATTGAGCAATCAATATAATTCGTAACTAATTATATCCAAGAGACCACATTTGAATCGTAATCAATAGTTTGATCCAGTAATTTACTACGCTACAGTTAATTATGCAAGTCGTAACTAATTGCATCCAAGATACCATACATACCATTCATATGATCTGGTAACCAATAAACTATTCACAAACACCTGTTGCTTGATTCAGGGGATACTGTTATTATACAGTAATATGATCTAGTAGACAGGTGTCTGCGGACAACTGTCCGCGGACAGTGGTCCGCAGACAGTGGTCCGCAGACAGTGGTCCGCAGACAGTGGTCCGCAGACAGTGGTCCGCGGACAGTGGTCCGCGGACAGTGGTCGGGCTATCTCGATACTGCCCACCCTTTCGTAGGGAGGGTACAACTGCTTTAATGCCTGTTCGAGGTCTTGAAGTGAAGTTAATCTTCAAATCGTTGCTGATGGACCCATGGAAGCATGGATGATCTTCCACATGTGTAGCAGGATATAGCGTTCCCTTCGACGTTGTAGAGACATGAGTGAGAGTTTTTTAATCTCCCCCAGTAATCAAGGTGTTTGGTTCAGCTGCTATTCGAGATGTGAATGTCCGTTGAACTCCTTCCAGTTCTTATATATCTGACACTTTAGATGGATTCCATAATGGGTAGCAGCATTCAAGTTAACTGCGTACCATGGACTTGTATAGTGTCAGCATGATAGTGGAGCTTCTGGTGTGGAAGACACTCAATACCCATGCAGCCTTGTTTGCCATAGCTTTGATTTGTTAAGTCCAGCTCAAGTCAGAACTGACAGTAACTCCAAGGTCCCGAAGTTGATGGACAGGCGTAAAATTGCCTTTGGAGGTTGAATACTGGTAGACTTCAAATGTAAATGGCAAGTGATTCAATGGGTTAGACCGATTGACAGCATGGCTTAGAAACTCAAATTTGTCTTCATGAAGTGACATGAAAAACCACCGAGTGACTCTGTCAAGGTCTTGCTGCAGCAGTGGCATATCCTGAGTCTTGGATATGGCTTTCTTAATCCTTGTGTCATCTTCAAAGCAACGAATAACACTGTAATTAACGCAGAAGGTGATGTCGTTGATGAAGATAAGAAACAGGATAGGACCAAGAACTGTTCCTTGTGGGACACCACTAACGATTAAGGCTGCAACACTCAGCTGTCCATTTACCACTACTTGTTGAGTACGGTCGTTCAGGAATGACTCTATCCACTTTATGATCTTTGGGTGGATTCCATACTTAAACAACTTCTTGATGAGTAGGGCATGATTAACATTGTCAAATGCTTTGGCATAATCCAAGTATATGCAGTCGGTGTCATAATTCCATCAAGGAAGTTTTCCAGGATGTCGTCAAAGTTGTGGAGGAGCTGTGTTACACAACTATGACCTGACCTAAATCCGTGATGCTGGCTACACAGTAGGTTGTTGGACTCAAGATGATGGACGAGTCGTTTCCTAATGAGGCGCTCAAATATCTTAATGATATGGGAGGTCAAGGACACAGGGCGATAATTTGACGCAGTTGCATGGCTCCCTTTCTTGTACAATGGGCAGATAAGGGATTTTTTAGAATGCCGGGACAGCACCTGAGTCAAACGATTTGGACCAGAGGAGGTGTATTGGTCGTGCCAATGCATACTTGCAAGATTTGAAAAGTGTTGTAAGGATACCGTCAGGGCCAGGTGCGGCATTTGCTTTTAATTCATCAATGGCGGACACCACATCGCCCTTTGAGAATGACAAGTCGGCATCTTAAAATCTGCTTGCAATGGTTGGGGATGCAAAATCAGCAGCAGTCATGTCAACAGCATCTGGGTTACTGAAGACAGATTTGAACTGGTTTTGCAGGATGTTTGCAATAGCTGCTGAGGATCAGTACAGGTATTGTTCCTTTCATCGAAGAGCATGTTGATTGACTGTTTTTGCTTAGAAAATCTCTTAGCGTAGCTATAGAAATACTTTGGGTTGGACTTAACGTTCCCTACTGCACGCTCTTCTCTGAAGTGTCTCTCGCTGACAATGGTATCTCTAATTTCATAGTGAATTAAAGCAACACGGTTCTCGAGGACAGCAATGGATTACTTGGAAGACGTGAAGTCAGCATTAGCTCTATCCAGATGTTTTTGCAATCTCCGTTTCTTTCGTGAGAGAGTGCACATCTTGCAAGACATTTGTCCATTTGGCGGTAGTTTTTGCGGACAATTGTCTTGGCATATGCTTAGTAGGGTAGTCTTAAAGAGCTCATGAAATCTCTCTACCCCATTGGTGTCCAGAATGTTGTCCCAGTCGAAAGACTTGATTATGTCGCTGATGCTAGTGAAATCAGCTTGGTTGAAGTCCAGCCTTCGAAAGGATGCAGCTTCAAACAGAGGAGGGAGGTTGATGTTTGGCTGACAGGGGTTGTGAGACAAAAATATCTCCACCAGGTCGTGATCAGACATCCTTGTGGGTTTGACGTCCACGTGGGTAACAAGGGAGGCTGAATTTGTCATGAATAGATCCAGAATATTTTTCTGCCTTGTTGGTTGAAGGATGTACTGACTATACATGTGGTTATTCATGAAATTCTCCATGAGTTCTGTAGATGGGCCGGGAGTGGTAACCATTGGATGATCCCATGAAATGCTAGGGAAACTGAAATCCCCTAGAAAGCATGTGTGGAAATCCTCTTTGCCGTTAGTTTACAGCATCGAGGCCAGCTTTGAAATCAGTAATGGTGCTGAAGGCGGTCTGTAAAGCACACAGATAATTATCTTAGCTGGTTCCGAAGTGCACATGAGAAGCTGACAGGAGTCTTTGTCAAGCGACTCAGTGTTTGTGATGTGCAGGTCACGGTGGGTGTAAAGGAGTACCCCACCCCCAACCCTGGTACTACGGTCACATCAGTGGGTATGATAGTCTTTAATGCCGGTTTGGTCATCGTACACATAAGATTTCAACCACGTTTCCGTTAGAGCTATGAATGGTAAACAGTTGGAGCTTGACTTCTGTCCGACAATGTCTTCAAGATAAGGGATTTCCCAACTGCAGACACTCCTAGCACTAGGGTTGACTGACTGTACATTTAACAGCAGGCAGGATTAATAGGAGTCATATTCGGCGGGTAGAACATCTGTTGACTCTGAACTGGATCCGAATATTTCTCCATCCTCTGTTGGTACAGTTGATGACTCAGACCTAATTCTTCAAAACATTATCATGACTCGTGAATCTAAAACTTGTGAGGAATGGTCATGTGACATGAATGTAGAATGAGTTTTAGGAGTAAGCAGACTAATGGTGACAACCTCTTTCAACAAGGTGAACTAAAGCGGAAGATTATATGGGATGGTGTGTCACGTGATAAATGAAATAGGCCTAATAGGATGGCTAATTAATTGAGTGTAGCTTATTGTTTTAAGTGAAATGCGTCTACAGAACTTAATGACAGGTATGAAACTATTTGCTGGGAAATGAAAACTTACATGATTTGAAGTGCTGAAACTGTGGAAAAAACGGTTCAATTTGAGGTGAAGGTGACTCATGATAATTTACAACAAACAAAATATAAAATATATAAATACTACTGAGCAATTACTTCATTAGGATTAGAACGTGATAATCCTGGACCAGGCAAAAGTCCTGCTCACATTGGGACACTGGCTAAGTTTCTCGATGTAATTCGACTTATATGACCCTAAATAACATAATTGACTCGGGTACACTTTTTCACCAGTGGGGCATTTCTCGGAATCACGCCCTTTTTGACCACACCCATATCGCGACCCCAACTATAAATTATCTCGTCTTCTGATTGAGATACAGACCTCAGCTATGAACCAAAACGTGCCTAAGATGCATGTTTATATTAGTGCTATGAAGATACTTAAGGCCTAAGAGACTTAGTTTTTGAGAAATCGCCAAAAATCCGATTTTACTATATTAGCAGTTGAGTTATTAGGTCAAATCCCATTTTTACGCTTTCGCGAGTAGCGATTGATGCACTTATTTCAAGATATCTCAGCTTCTGATTGGAGTTCAACGCTCATCTTGGGCATTGAAATGGTCAGAATCATCATATTAAGTGGGGTAGAGCATGGTTTTAAAGTCTTCAGACTTCAGGTTGTTGAGTTATTAGTTCAGATCCCATTTTTATGCTCTCGCGAGTAGCGATTGATGCACTTATTTCAAGATATCTCAGCTTCTGATTGGAGTTCAACGCTCATCTTGGGCATTGAAATGGTCAGAATCATCATATTAAGTGGGGTAGAGCATGGTTTTAAAGTCTTCAGACTTCAGGTTGTTGAGTTATTAGGTCAGATCCCATTTTTTCGCTCTCGCGAATAGCGATTGATGCACTTATTTCAAGATATCTCAACTTCTGATTGGAGCTGTGGAGATAAGCGTTTATCATGGGCATAAAATAGTAAAAGTTATCAAATTAAGTAGCATCGAGCATAGTTTTAAAGTCTTTAGACTTCAGGTTATCAAATTATTAGGTTAAACCCTATTTTTATGCTCTTGCAAGAATGGTCACTGCAATGGTGGAAATATTTATTAAATGAACTGTAATTAATCGCCAGGAAAAAGTCGTTTGCCAAGAAATATCAGTAAAATGTCACTAAAACCTCTAACACTGGGAAATGCTTTACCCCACTTAATATGATCATACTGACCATTTCAATGCCCATGATAAGCACTTAGCTTCAATCAGATGCTGCGATATCTTGTAATAAGTGTGTCAATCGCTACTCGCAAGAGTGTAAAAATATGTTATAACCTAATAATTCAACAACCTGAAGTCTGAAGACTTTGAAACTATGCTCTACCCCACTCAATGTGATGATTCTGACCATTTCAATGCCCAAGATGAACGCTTAGCTCCAATCAGAAGCTGATATATCTTGAAATAAGTGCATCAATCGCTACTCGCGAGAGCGTAAAAATGGGATTTGACCTAATAACTCAACAACCTGAAGTCTGAAGACTTTAAAACCATACTCTACCCCACTTAATATGATGATTCTGACCATTTCAATGCCCAAGATGAGCGTTAACTCCAATCAGAAGCTGAGATATCTTGAAATAAGTGCATCAATCACTTCTCGCGAGAGCATGAAAATGGGATTTGACCTAATAACTCAACAACCTGAAGTCTGAAGACTTTAAAACCATGCTCTACCCCACTTAATCTGATGATTCTGACCATTTCAATGCCCAAGATGAGCGTTAAACTCCAATCAGAAGCTGAGATATCTTGAAATAAGTGCATCAATCGCTACTCGCGAGAGCATAAAAATGGGATCTGACTAATAACTCAACAACCTGAAGTCTGAAGACTTTAAAACCATGCTCTACCCCACTTAATATGATGATTCTGACCATTTCAATGCCCAAGATGAGCGTTGAACTCCAATCAGAAGCTGAGATATCTTGAAATAAGTGCATCAATCGCTACTCGCGAGAGCGTAAAAATGGGATTTGACCTAATAACTCAACAACCTGAAGTCTGAAGACTTTGAAACCATGCTCTACCCCACTCAATATGATGATTCTGACCATTTTAATGCCCAAGATGAGCGCTTAGCTCCAATCAGAAGCTGAGATATCTTGAAATAAGTGTGATAATTGTTACTCTAGAGACTGCTAGTATAGTAAAATCGGATTTTTGGCGATTTCTCAAAAACTAAGTCTCTTAGGCCTTAAGTATCTTTATAGCACTAATATAAACATGCATCTTAGGCACATTTTGGTTCATAGCTGAGGTCTGTATCTCAATCAGAAGCCGAGATAATTTATAGTTGGGGTCGCGATATGGGTGCGGTCAAAAAGGGCGTGATTCCGAGAAATGCCCCACTGGTGAAAAAGTGTACCCGAGTCAATTATGTTATTTAGGGTCATACAAGTCGAATTACATCGAGAAACTTAGCCAGTGTCCCAATGTGAGCAGGACTTTTGCCTGGTCCAGGATTATGATTACATAAATAATATTAAAGTTATTCTAAATTTCAATATAATCCAATTCTTGAATAATAATATGTCCCTAAACTAAACTAGTGTGGTGTAGTGGTAACACGATTCCCTCCCAAGCCGAAGACCCGGGTTCAAATCCGGTCGGATGCAAGTCGGCCAGTTACAAAGCTGTGATTTGGTACAGCTTCGGCTGGTGATACACACTCGGTAGCTCGTAGGACTAACCCCCCAGCCCCCCTTCAGCTAGTATAGTGCCTCGGCACAGAGTGGCTTAGGGTTACTGAAAAGGAGATAAGCACCTCTGGCCATCCCAACGTTCGGGAGAGACCTGCCCTTGTATCTTGTGTCATGTAAACTAAAATTTTAGGTAATAGGTTCCAAATACCGAAAGGTAAACTGTTCTCCGAAAAATCTTGTTTTAAAATGTAATGTAACTGTAAGCGCTGCTTTTAGTTTTAGTTTTAGCAAAAACTGACTCATAATAATGACTATCTATAAATATCACGAACTACTCAGAAGTCTATAAATAAAAACTACTCAGAAGTCTATGGAAAAAACTACTCAGAAGTCTATAAATAAAAACTACTCAGAAGTCTATGGAAAAAACTACTCAGAAGTCTATAAATAAAAACTACTCAGAAGTCTATAAATAAAAACTACTCAGAAGTCTATAAATAAAAACTACTCAGAAGTCTATAAACAAAAAACTACTAGAAGTCTATAAATAAAAACTACTTCGAAGTCTATAAACAAAAACTACTCAGAAGTCTATAAATAAAATCTATTCAGAAATCTATAAAAACTGCTCAGAAGTCTATTAATATCAACTACTCAAAAGTCATTAGTGTGTTAATACCAATTACTTTCACCATGAGTGGTCGAATGTCACGCAGGATATGTAGTGCTTTGCATTTAAATCGGCTGTATCTTCGGTTCAGATGGATATATATTTTGATGCCTTAAAAACTTACTACCACTGAATATTATTACTTTCTTCCCTGTGACCACGGGCTTTCTATTATTCTATAAACATCAACTACTCCCCCCCCCCCCCCCCCCCCCCCCCAGTTGAGAGTGCTGACTGCAGATCTATCTTGATACATTTTAATTTGCACTATTCCTATCATACCGACTGATAGGGGTGTTGACCAAAATAGAAGCCCTCATAGTTCACAAAAGTATATTATTTTGTAATTATTCTACATCATCCAATAATCAATAATAATTAACTACTCTCCAGAGTGTGAACAAGGAAAGTCGCCGTGCTCGAACGGTTGGCAATGTGTCCGAGATGCCTATGTATGTGATGAAGAAGACGATTGTGATGATGGGTCAGACGAAAATAACTGCCCAGGTTGAGTATCTATAAACTTAACTTATTTACCAATTTAAAACATATGTAACCCAATGATAACGGACTAAAATTTCCGTCAGATTTTGGGACGTAGACAGTACCTTTAAAAAAATTGCAATTATCTGGATAATAGTCAATTAGTCAAAGTATATTATATTGAAATTATTATATACTTGTACTTGATTAGGTCTCCTCAATCATTCGAGTGGCCTGCACCAATGAACTCCCGTTTGTGACGTAACATCTCCCTCCAGAGTTTGCGGTCACTAGCCACCTCACTCGCTCCTTCTAGGTCTATGTCAGTGTTTCCTGTAAACGCTGCAGCATCTTCCAGCAAAAATTTCATCCAGTTCTTTCTTGGACGACCACTAGATCTCCTCCCATGCGCAGGGGTCCAGTTAAGCAGATACTTAGGAAGCCTAGTGTCTGGCATTCTGGTGACATGGCCAAACCAACGCAGGCGGTTTGCTCCTATGTACAATGTACATCTCTACTGGATTAATCTTTGTACGCTCCAGCACTTCAGTGTTTCTAACCCGATCGAGCCATCTTATCCTAAGTATTCTCCTCAAGCAACACTGATGGAACACCTCAAAGCGATGTAGCTGCTTTTTGGTTGTGTTCCAAACCTCACTACCATATAACAATATTGTCAAAACCGCTGCCTTATAAATCCTGATCTTTGTATAAGACTGGATGTTGCGGTTTTTCCATATATTACTCAGTTGATTGAAGGCTCCGGAAGCTTTCTGAATCCTCGCTGACAGCTCACGCGGTCGATAGTATCGTCGCTGGAAATAATTATACCTAAGTACGTAAAGTCAATAACTTGCTGCACTGGCGTGTCTTCAACAGTGATGTTCACTGTGGCTTCTTTCGTGTATGGCCGTTGAGAAGTTGCTTTACTAATGACCATAGCCTCAGTCTTTTTACCATTGATTCTCAGACCTCCCTGGGCACCATACATACACAAAAGGTCAGTTTTTTCTTGAAGACCCTCCTCGCTGTTATCCAGTACAGCCATGTCATCTGCATAGAGTGTATCTAACACAGTGATATCATCAACAAGCGGACTGATAGATCTTTGAAGAACCGCTCCGTGGGACACCACTTTGTTGCTTTCTGTTCTCACAGCAGCCACATTGAGGCAGACATTAAAAAGAGGGGGACCCTGAATGTCTACTTGGCCACTGCCTGAACTTACTTCAAACCATTCTGACAATTCACCATTGTGTCTAACAGCACTAACAGTTTCATTAAAGAATGCCTGTATAATTCGAATGTATTTACATGGCAGGCCATAATGACTGAAAGCTTTCCAAATATAATTCCTGTCGATAGAATCAAAAGCTGCCTTGAAGTTCTTCAATTTTTTGAGACAGTTTAAAATCTCAAGTCTAGTGGGGGGACCATCACCATCCCCAAGATAAGGAAAGCAGGGAAGCACTTCAAGATGGTCCAGGTCAGACAGGTCCGCATTTGTTGGAGGAGGGTTTAATAGCTCCGAAAAATGTTCTCCCATCTCTCTCTCTCTGAGAAGAGGGATCAGCAATCAACTTCCCGGATTTGTCTCTTACAGCAGTTGATTTTCTATTCTTCTTACCGGACAGTGTTTTTATCCGTATAGCATCCAATAATCAATAATAATCAACTACTCTCCAGAGATACCGTGTGTACAGACGTGCTCGAACGGTGACTGTATCTACGATGACTGGGTATGTGATGGAGCAGCAGATTGTGATGATGGGTCAGACGAACAAGACTGTGATTATGATAATCCTGGTATGCATTTCTATAAATCTGGTAAGACTAAAACTCCTTTCGTACCCTCAAACATCTTTTATTTCTAGCATATTTGATAAATTCATGTACATAATAACATTATCCTGATTTCCAATCCAACCTCATATAGTAAAATCTACTTCTAATTTCCTTCAATTCTGCTACCTCCACTATAGCTCTATCTAGCAATCTCTGAATGCTACTTCCTGCTCTATCTAGCTTCCACCTGTCACCAACACCCAATAATTGTTGTAATGTTGCCACTAGCACCTGTAAATTCTAGCCCTATCCATCAACCTCAGACTTATTCCTACTCTGTTCAGCTATTCAGTTAAACAAAAATTTCAGTTAAACAAAAATTTAAATTTTATGCCATTTATTACATATTAAACAAGTTTACAATAAATCAATTTGATATTTAACGGAATCCTAATTCAATGTGCAGTATGGTTGTCACTCTTTAAATAGATTAGATATAGGTTAACGGGGCAAAGGAGTGTTCGTGCTGTTCGCTATTGCTCACACCAAACGGCAACCTAGTAAATGTTTTGTATGAACACCGGTCTCCATCACGATTCACGATACAAAATTAGGATTATAGAATTTATTGTATAACTATTGGTGCAGTGGAGGTAGCGGTGTGGTGCATTAATAGAGTGACAGCCTACCAGGGACAAAAGGATTTCGCGGCGATTTTGGCCAAAAATCGCGATACCGCGAATTACATTTCGCGGTATAATAAACTATACATCAAATTTGTCGCAAATAATGGGAAAAATCGCGATTCCGTACATGCCGCGTTATCCTTTTGTCCCTGCAGCCTACTGATTTAGAGATGTTTTTAGGTGAGCATAATGGGTGTATTTTTGGATCTAATGGCAACTTTAAAATTGGTTCTTTTAATCATTTATTAAATATCAGTTTAAAAATATATAAATCTGGAATCTGTTCACACTGTGAACCAGTCCTGTAAAAATTTCAAAAACCCTCCTGAATTAAATATTAAAAACGTCTCAGTAATGGAAATAGTCATACAATTAAGAAATTAACCAAATTCTTAATATCTACCTAAGAGAAAAATACCTACCTACTAAGTCAATTTCTACCTGTAATACACTAAATATTAGGTTAATTACATAGGTGGTGGAGTCAGCACACATTTACCAAAATCAAAATTTTTTAATAGGAGGAGCCTGTGGGCCGAGATCACTGGATTAAATTTGATGAAGGGGATTGTTTTCAAATGACAGCTGCATTATGTCATAATCGCTTGTGGTCCATGCCGAATCATTATAAGCATGTTACCAGCACCTGCAATTTCTAGCACTATCCAGCTAGCTCAGACTACTTTCTGCTCTATCCAGCTTACACTAGCAAACGGTACCCACAAATTTTAGCTTCTTCTAGCTACTTCGGGCTACATCCATCCTTATTCAGTTGGTTGAGCACTCTCAAATTCTATTTGTTTTTACCTAATTCATGCTACCTCCAGGCTCCAGCTAGAATTTAAGGGTGCTTGTGCTATTTGGATATAGCAGCATAAGGTAGTCTGAGTTTGCTGAATAGGGCTAGAATTTGCAGTATCTAGTAGTAGCTTAGCAACAATTAGTGGGTGTTGGTGGAAGCTAGATAAAGCAGGAAGTAGCATTCAGAGGTTGCTAGAAATAGCAGGTTTCCTCTTCCTCAATGACCTGAAAATTGTTGAATGCAGCTGAGGCAGCCGGAAAGAGCCAGAATAAATTGTTGCTGGTGGTGCTATAAAAGGCAAGAGGTAGCTTAAGTTAAGTTTGCTAGAAAGAGCAGACTAGGTTCATGGTGGGCCTGGGGCCAGGGGGGCCTTGCAGTAGTAGCTAAATAGTTGTAGCCGAAGTAGGTGAAAAGAGCTGGAATTGGTGGTTTCTTGTTGTTGCCCACTGGTGGTACCTGTATAGAGCAGGAGGTAGCATTCAGAGGTTGCTAGAAAAAGCTAAAATTATAACGTGCTGGTGATAGCTGTGTAAAATAGGCATGACATGGAGGTAGCAGAATTATAGGTAGCTAGAAGTAGATTCTACTTCATGAGTTGGGATTGAAGTTGATTAGCCATAATAGTCAAACAGTACTGGAGAGAGCCCAACTTGTGGTAGCTATAACGAGATAGTTAGATTTTCATGTATACATTTGGGGATTGAAGTAGTTTGAAGTAACCAGAGAGATGATTAAATATATACATTTGGGGATAAGATAAGATAGCCATGGAAGGAGCTTCTGAAACTGAATTGTGTTGCTCCATAAATATTATCTGAATGTGTTCATGCTGAACATTTTGCTATGCTGCAAGTAAAGTGATTTCTCTTGGAGAATTTCTCTTTAGACTCTTAACTTGCGAACAAATTGAAGCAGCAAACTTTAGGCTATAAACTTTATTGAATTGAAATAATCATTCCACGTAACAACGTCTTCTTCAGTTCTGTAATAAAATTGTTAAACATGTGTAAAAATTAACGACGGAAAGAAATTTAAAATAACATTAAAACAAAAACAGAGAAATAAAATTTACGAAATAAGACCCAAAAAATGTAATTGCAAAAAATGTCAAAACAACAAAAAATACGACAAGAAGAAATGTAAGCTAATACAGCTAAATACTGTACTACTCATGATACTAAACTAATTAATAAACGTAAAACTGGTTGTTCAGAATTCACAGTTCATGTGTAAAAACTAATGATAAAATCAGCACTTAAGCAACTATAACTCGGTTGTCATGGTTACTATCCAAGATAGTCCTATCAATACATTATTTACTAGTTAAACATCGACTAAATATTTGTACGTGGAATGATTATTTCAATTCAATAAAGTTTCTAGCCTAAAGTTTGCTGCTTCAATTTGTTCGCAAGTTAAGAGTCTAAAGAGAAATTCTCCAAGAGAAATCAAGTTCAAATGCGACTCATAAATATAGCCCCCTTGAACTATTGCAAGTAAAGTGTCTGTAATACTTTTTAGCCCATGATACCAAAATTAAGTACATGTTTGATGTTACTATTTTAGGATGCACGGAAGTTAAAACAGTTTTTACTTTTTAATGAATATCTCCTAAACTAAGCACTATAAACCCTATGTTGCTTTATAGCTTGTATGTAAATGCGGCCTTTGCAGTAAGTTTGAGCTAAAAGAAAGGCCGCTACAACGTTCAGAAGCCAAGATACAAAAGTTATATATTTGCACCTGAGGGTGATTTAGAATTTCCCCGGCCCTAGGGTTGGAACTACTGATAGAAACGCGTTTTTCGATCCCTGATCCTAACAGCTGCAATGGACTGTATAAATGAGATAATATAACTTTAAGCTAACAAGATAACTATAACCTAATAATTTCTATTTCAGGTGATAACCGGAATTGAAAATGATGTAAGTGCATGTTCATCGTAGTCGATAATTGTTCAATCGTACAACCGTCAAAAAATATGGGGAAAATGAAGAAAACTGTTCAAATTTTATATTTATGATTTTAAAACTTACTTTTTAGTTTTTAAATTGCATGACAAAAAATTGGCATCTAATTTAACACTTTTGTGGCGGCATTGTAGTGACATTATTGCATATTGGCTTCTTAAGTTATGTCTTTTTGCTATCTTAAATTATGTCTTATAGTTATTGCTTATCGTATTTTTCTTATAGCTAAAATATTTACTCACTCTTCATTTATCGTGTTTAATTCTGCGAGTCTACTGTTATAATTATTGGAAAGATAAAATGCTGACATTATGCAACAGACAGTTAGTTAGTTTGCTAATTATAAGATATGAAATAGAAAACTTAGCAAGGATCAACAAACAATTACAAATAAGTTAAGCGGTCTATTGAATCCTCGAGTCTGGTACGGCAATAGTTGAAATTTAAAATCATCAAATGTGTAACAAAAGTCGTCATAGCGCATTTGTGTTATTTGCTATACGATGTTCAAGTACAAGATTCTTCAATTTCGTCTAAAATCCAATTAACTTTAATTGGACAGATCACAAAGACAGCAAATCAACAGATGACAAGACAGCAAAACTTACACCAGTTTCTGTAAGTGGGTAGACCACAGGTAATTTACGGTGGGGGTGTCCTAACTTCCTGAGGTTAAACTTAATGTAGCAGTGCCGGCACACAGGCACATTCTGCTACTAGTACACATCATCACTGCACTGGGTAGAGAGAGTTCAGTATTTGCTGTTTTGTGTTTTTATTGAGGTATGCTTGTTTGACGTATTCATAACTCTAAGGCCTGAAAAAATATAAGGGCAAACAAATTAATTCCGCCGGTTTATTGTGGAGCAAGCCCCTCACACTGTATAAGGGAATACAGCCTCTGAGTATCTTACAAATTGTTCGAGGAAAGCTGATATCTGAAAATTCCCTTTACTATTATACCGGTAGGACATTTTCGTGATTTTCCTTTGATCAAAGCTTTCTCTTCATGTTCAGCTTCCAATTTCAATACCTCAATTGTGACTCGTGTCATACTGACCCCAGTGGTCAAAAGTTCAGGTAAAACTGTGAAATTTGGGTCGATGAGACGGTATCGAATGGAATATGATTCCATTTGGCATGATTCCTAAAGAAGAAACTTTTGGAAAAAATATCTGTGCTTGTACAGGGTATACCGGAACTAATGAAACTGAGACTGTTGAGGTGGCTATAAAGACGAGGCTAGTAAGGAGAGCAAGAAGACAATCTAAAAGATGATACACTTCTGCAGGATGAGTGTAGTCCAGATAAGTCAGGGGACCATAGCACATTCTTTCTTATCTGTGTTACTTTTGCGGGCCGACTTTATGTCTGGTGTTATTTGTGGTATATTTTAATATGTGACGTAGTAACAAATGTAATATTTTGATCTATATATTGTCCAGTGAAGGTGTGATTTGGTAATATAACTTTCATTGAACCTCGACGATTTGCCTGGTATCATAAGAACAGATTTGCAACAGCACGAAGCGTGGAACAGCTAATCTTAAAAAGGGGGCCTTCCATTCAAATTATATAAATTAAATTCTATAATGAAGATGATGTAGACATGAAAAGTGAAAACGACATATCTCGAGACATGCCTTTTTTACTTTTTATGTTTACATGATCATTGTACACTAAATTATCTCAGGGCGACTGCGGCTAAATACTATCGTCCATCATTACTGACTTGTCGAGTTCATATGAAACGTCAGCTAACGCTCATCATAATGGCTAGTTCCTGCTACAATTCGCGATAGAGGTCGCATCAATACAGTATCACGCTCTACAATAGTCCGTGTACCCACTTATCTCCCCTTAAATCCTACAAAAAACACAAACTAACAAAATATTCACTAAAACTTCTCCTGTCTTCAAAGCTGTCTGCATCCAGAAAACAGCTACTTTTACCATACAGTTGCTCGTATCACAATGTTATATGAATTCAAGAACCCTTACCAGGCCAGTTGACAGAGCTGTGTCGTCCGGAGGTATTAGTAAGTTAGTAGTATGTATATTGAGTCGGCACAACCCCTACCCTCAGCAGCTTATTTAATATCAGCCTCGGATCAATGGTCCTCAGTATCCAGTAGTTTGCTTTTCGAAAGCCTCCTCGGCCGATGCCCATTTTAAATTTTTCTGATTCTGCAAATTTAAATATAATTCCGTGTTCTAGCCTAATTTAGACTTTGGCTTGGCTTGCCCCTTTTAGTTATTCTACTAAGATATGTTCGTCTCATGTTCCCCACAAGGCTAAACCTTCTGGGCGCCCAAAACATACCAATGCTTTGCGGCGTAAAAGGAACCGAGTCAAGGCAAAGCTGAATGCCTTAGTCAACAATGGTGCACCTGACGATCACATCAGAAATGTTAGGAACAAGGTTGCACTCCTACAGTATGATATTCGATGTGCCCATACCAAGAGACTTGATGAAAAGGAATCCAGGGCAGTAGAAAAGATCAAAACAAATCCCAAGTTCTTTTTCAGTTATGCTAAGTCTCTGTCGAAGATCAAATCCAGTATCAACATGCTCTTTGATAGCAACCAGGAGATAACCACAGACCCCAAGAAAATGGCCGATCTGCTGCAGGAACAGTTCAGCTCTGTGTTTAGCGATCCGACCTCTCCTGATGTTAAGGATCCGGTTTTCTCCCCTCCCTCTATCCAGCACCCACAAGAACTAGAGGACTTTAGAATTAGTGACGAAGATATCATTTCAGCTATAAAAAGTATCTCTACAGATTCTGCTTGTGGACCAGACGGAATACCTACAACTCTCTTGAAAAACTGTGCTAAGGAGTTGTGTTCTCCTATACGTATTATTTGGGAGGAATCATTTGAAAACGGTACAGTGCCATCGTTCTACAAAGACACCTACATTACACCACTATTTAAAAAGGGTGACAGGGCCAAGGCAGTCAACTACAGACCAGTTGCTCTCACTTCGCACATCATCAAAGTGTATGAACGTATCCTTCGTGGTGTTATGGTTGACTTTATTGAGAAAAATCAGTTACTCTGCAACAACCAGCACGGGTTCCGCTCAGGAAGAAGCTGCCTTACCCAGCTGTTAAGTCACGTAGACGATATAGTTTAAGGTCTTACTAGAAATGCAGACACTGACGCTATATATTTGGATTTTGCCAAAGCCTTTGATAAGGTCGATCATCGGTTACTACTCCTGAAAATGAAGAGATTGGGTTTTCATGAGAAGGTGGTAAACTGGATCCGATCCTTCCTGACTGAAAGGAAGCAATGTGTTGTGTTAGGTGGTGTATCATCGTTTGCTGCCGCAATCCTCAGTGGAGTTCCACAAGGCACCGTTCTTGGGCCACTGTTATTCATTCTGTTCATAAATGATATGAAGCTATGTGTTAAAGGGTCAGTCATCAGATTCTTTGCTGATGACACTAGGATTCTTAAGCATATTTACAGTTTGGCCGACAAAGATGTCCTGCAGGATGATCTCAACTCTGTTGTTAATTGGGCTAAGTGCAACAACATGGCCCTTCATGAGGATAAGTTCGAGCTTCTTGTTCACAAGCATAGTCCAAAGAATCCCTTGTTTGATCATCCATTCGCCATCCAAGCTCAAACATATGAAGTGTCTAACGGAAACATGCTGTACCCCACTCAAACGGTGAAAGATCTAGGAGTGACAGTTTCCGCTGATTTGTCCTGGACCCCACACGTCAACAGGATAGCTGAACGCGCAGGAAAAGTTGTTTCTTGGGTGCTAAGTGCGTTCAAAACGAGAGACAAAGCCACCATGATGACTCTGTACAAGTCTCTCGTTAGAAGCCATCTGGAGTATTGCTGTCCTCTGTGGAATTGCTCTAAGAACAAGGACATCCAACAGCTAGAAGGGATTCAGCGTACGTTTACATCGAAAATAGATGGCACCCAGCACCTCAACTACTGGCAGAGATTAAAGGCCCTAGATCTGATGTCATTGCAAAGAAGAAGAGAACGGTATTTAATCATCAACATGTGGAAAGTTCTGCATTGCAAGTGTCCTAATGATATTGGTATCCAGTTCTCGGTGACTCTCAGACATGGTCAAAAAGCAGTTGTGCCCAGTATAGCTAAGTCCAGCAGTCAACGTAATCAAGCACTACATGACAACTCATTTGCAGTCACTGGACCTCGATTATGGAATGTAATCCCAACACATATGCACACCATCGAGGATCCTATGCAATTCAAAGCAGCTTTAACGAACTTTGTAAAGTCATTTCCGGACGAGCCTCCAGCTCCAGGATACAGCCGTCGGAATGGAAACTCCTTGCTTGATTGGAGTGGTGATAAAACAGTTTCTACACTGTCCGGGGGGTCGACTTTTTCGATGGCCCGATAGAGGATTCTATGAAACCCTACAAAGTAACAAAGTAAGTAACTTTTATTGTATCCGAGCCATCGCAATTGAAAGCACATTTATTCAGCAACATTTAATAACTTTTACATCACGCTTATACTTTTATAGTAGATTACGTTCAAGATCAAAGTTATACTTGATCAAATCTAAATAGCTCGCTGACGTACTTTACCCCGTATTTCAAAAGTATGTACGTCTGCGTCGTTTTAAAAGTGATAAGCCAAAATGATAAGAATCACGGGACTTGGGTCGTTACATCAGTAATTAACAGTTTATCTCTAGATCCAGGTTATTCTAACACATAACACATGACAATTAGCTGATATAAAAATATACATTATATTTTATACAGTTTTCTGCCTCCAATGACCAAGGGTCAATGGCGAACGACAATTTGGAATTTTTAATCCTGGTGGTAAAATCAACGTATTGCACTCTGATGCACTCATCATATTAATATTATACCATAAAGATGACTATTTTCTCGTCGGCTCTCTATTCTTAATTTGATTAATTATCAGTTTTCAGGGCTTTTGGTTTGAAAATTTGTCTTTAGACTGAACATTTAAATCATAATAATCCTGGACCAGGCAAAAGTCCTGCTCACATTGGGACACTGGCTAAGTTTCTCGATGTAATTCGACTTATATGACCCTAAATAACATAATTGACTCGGGTACACTTTTTCACCAGTGGGGCATTTCTCGGAATCACGCCCTTTTTGACCGCACCCATATCGCGACCCCAACTATAAATTATCTCGTCTTCTGATTGAGATACAGACCTCAGCTATGAACCAAAACGTGCCTAAGATGCATGTTTATATTAGT